GCTGAGCCTCTGGTCTCTCGTGCCCCACCCAGGTGATGCCACTTCACACCTCGTTACGGAGGTGATCGTGATCACCTGAAATCTCAACCGTAAGGGTCCAAGGTGGCTCGTCAGGACACATCAAGGCATACCCAAAGCTATAAGCCCTGCAGTAGCGCACACTTTTGTGTATTTTGCATGTTTTGCTTTCCATCTTTTGTTCTGTTTTTGGCTCTGGTTCCTTTGCCTGATTTTTCAGTGGTTTCATCAGCAAGCCTCAGACACCGTGGGGTGGAGGTCTCTTATTTTTAAGGTGTCCCTGAGTGTTAAGGGGGAATGGAAGGGGAACATTTTTATGACATTTGGCTTAATTTTTTTTTCACTTAAATTCTGAACTTTCATTTGAAAGCTTTGGGGATTCACACGGGAAGGTCGTACACTACTAGCATCTGTTAATCCCTGGACTCTGGAACAGAGTGAAACTCGTGGAAATCAGCATCCCTCCACGTACAGCATACATCTGTCAAGCATATACAAAATATCAATTGCAAATATCAGTTCAGAGGTCAAGGGCTAAGCCTCTTTACAGTGTTATTGAACCAATAAGAGGTGCATGCAGCGACAAGTAGAGCAATTTCTTATCTGAATTACTCCACATCACCTTAGAACTCTGTACAGGCAAAGTGTCTGTAGTCAGAGTTCTGCCTGCACAGCTCTGCCAGGCCATCCTGGAAATACTGCAGTGTTGCAAGTGTGACGTGTATGGCAGGTGGAATGCAGAAGGTAAAAGCAGGGGCAGTTGCAGGAAGGTCTGTTTGTATTAGGAGTGTCTGGTTTGTTACAGGCTTTGTCCTCTGGCAGTGAATCTGCTGTGCTGGGAGCACAGGCTGTTGGGATGTGCAAAGCCCTGATCAGGCAGACTTTGGGCTTTCATGAGCCGAGGAACCAGCTCTCGAGTTGTGAGGAGTGGTGAAAACAGATATTGCTAAAATTGGTTGGAGACCTAAGGCACGGCTGTTGGGAGAAGGGTGGGTGTGTGTTACTCTTTTCCGTGGAAAGAAAAATCACATCTGAAGCACTCTCAACACGTGATCCTGTCCAGTAATGAGGCACCAGTGCTACACTTGATGGCTGTGATACAGAGTGGCTTATAGCCATTAAATTCCCTGGAGGTTTGGGATTGGGAAGAGGTGTTGAATGTGACACTTAATTGTGAAGTAAAACCTGTGGTGCTGAGTGCACCGTTTTCTCTCTATTGCTGTCACACAACTGCGGTTGTCTGAACTGAAAGTAAAACACATTTCAGATGATCCTGTAACCAGTACCAGCTCTCCAAGTGCTAAGTAGGCCTCTGAAAATTCTACTGTTAGCAAAGTTTTGGTAATAATGCATTCTGAACTGCTGTTGCCTGCCATCTGCTTGTGCACCTTCAGGTGTTATCCTGAGCTTTCAGGATTTTTGTTTGTAAGCATAAAAGGTGGAAGCTTTTGGTTTTGTTACCTTAACAAAGGTGTGATTCTTGTGTACCTTCTGTTTTCCAACTGCTGACCTTAAGATCCAGAGCCACCAGTTTCATGAGGCTCTTGGTCTATCCATCAGAGAGCCATTGCATTTCCCAGAGTTCTGCTGCCACTGGAACATTAGTCATTGCTGCTTTCTTGAAAGCAACTGTTGAGAATTGCTTTTTCAGCATTGGAATTATTTACCTTCATATATTCAATCATTTCTGTGGCTGACTTGAGACTGTGTTGTGTGCCTCGCTTTTATTGATCAGAGAACAAGCTGAAGTCTTAAATATGTTTTTGGTTAATGTATATTGGCATATGACAACATGTTTGTTAACTAGGAATAATGTGTATATATATATATATAAATATATATGAAGAAAATGGCCTAAAAGGCTAAATGAATAATTGCACTTTTCCCCATGGACCTTTGTGTTCCAAGACATCAGGTTTTGTTTTCCCTCTAAATTTGAGAAGCCATAAAAAGTGCTTAGGAATCTGAATCACCTACTGCTCATGTTACATTTACTCTGCATTCAGAGGTGGTCATGATGCCTTTTGCTATTGTTTTGAGCTTCTAGAAGGTCTTACACATACTGCAGTAGAGATTTCTTGTTTGGAGTGGCTGGGATGGGAATGATGTGTGGTGTTCCTTGTTCTTGAACTGCTGCTGTGCTTCATCCCGGGGGTGCTGTGGGCTTCAGGGATGGGCAAAATTAACATTTTAGGTGCTGTACACACAGACCTGCGTTGACCTGTTTTCACCTTCCTTGCTGATGAAGTCAGAGAAGGAGGAAGTTTCAGTTTGAGTATTAAATCCCAGGATTTGAAAAGCTGGCCAAGGGAGGAACTCTGACATCATTTATTAGCAGAACAATGAAGGATGTTTTGGAAATCGGTGAGAAGGAAGGACAGGAAGCCCCATAGTACCAGTTCTTGCTGCCACTGCCCACGTCTGTGTCTGCTCTGGGCTCCAGCTGCTGGCTTGTGCTCTTCTTTTCACCTTCTGCTTTGCTGTTCCTTGCACTGAACTCTTTGTGCACATTTAAAAATACTGCCCTTCAGTTCTGTTGCCTTGTTCTTCAATGCCAATTTTATTTGCCTTTGTTATTACCTCTTCAGGTTTAATTTTAAATACAAGGTTTGTTGTGGTTTTTTTTTAATTTGATTGGTTGTTTCCAAGAGGAATGAATCTGAAACTTTTCCATGCCCTTTTTTCTCTGTAGGCACTCTGTAAAAACTAAACAGGAGAGAAAACATGTAGCAGGCTGTTTCTGGGAACATGGAATGTGCCTGGGGGAAGGGATATGTGGACAAGATCAATACTTTTATTAACCAAATTTTTTTAAAAGAAACACCAAAGTTGCTTTTTAATATGTAGTTATAATCTCTAATGCTTAGAAGTATATAGAGCTTTTGGATCAGAATATGCCTAAGGGAACATGGCATCCTGGATTCCAGGTGGTAGGGCTTGTCACTGCAAATAAGGACAAGGCAGCATGTGTACTGTGATGTCTGTGAGGGACAGAACTCCAATACCAAATACTTTTGGGAGAACATATCAATGGATGCCTTCACAGCCAATGTTGTGACTACAGCAGGTGGTATAACATTTTAATTTTGTTTATGGAGGCTTGAATCAATTCATAGACACGTGCATACCCCCTAAATTTTTAAAGGAATCTCTCTGTATGATCAAACCTCAGTTCTTCAGTGTTTTGATTTGGGGCACTTCAAAAAGCAGCGTTGCAAATAATCTCAGGAATAAATCTAATGTAAACTTCGTGCTTGCCAAATACTGTGTTTCGGTTGGATGCCTGTTGCAAGGTGCTTCCTGAAAATCTTGTAAGAAATATAAGAAATTTGACTTGGAAATTTCAGCCTTCTTTAAGATAAAGCAAAATGCTGCTTCCCAGCGGGGAAATAAGCACGCAGAGGAAAGGTGTGGTTTTAGGAGACTCTCCAAGCTGTGAAAAGAATGGGAATGAGCTCGAAGTTGAACCCTCAAGGATGTGCACCTTCTTGGCATATAGTGGGACAATAAAGGAAAACTGTCCTCTTCTTCTGTTTGAAGCTAAAAATTATTCCTCTGCTGGAGTTTGGTAGTTCACCTGTTTGTTTTTGTCCCCTACTGATTCTTTTTGTTGTATAATTATTCCTCAGGGTGAAAAATTTGGCCCCTTTGCAGGGGAGAAGCGAATGCCGCAGGACCTGGATGAGAACACAGACTGCAGGCTCATGTGGGAAGTGAGTAGAGTGTCATCATCACACCTGGCAAAAAGTGTTCTCAGAATTAAGTTTTACTGTGACAAATACTCTTTTTTCTTTTTCTTTTTTATTTTTTCTCCTAGCTTAAAGATACTGTTGTGACATTTTGTACTTTTAAGTTATACTTTTTGGGCGGAGGGGGATTGACTTATTCAAAACTATAAAGAAATAGCAAATGATAGTTTCTAATCAATGAAGTGTGGAAAAATTATTTAAAAATGTAAAAAGCAATACTAAAAAAAATAATTTCCACGGAGGATGCTGTAAATTACTGAGATGCTGATTTATGCTGATCAACAGGTGGCAGCTCATGGCTTCCTTCAACTGTTATAAAACATTTCCTGGTGTGACACTGGTGCTGGGTTTGGCACGTTGTATGAGTGAAGTTTTTAAATTGTAACAACTTCTTATGCAGTGAGTAGTTGAGAGATCTTTAACAACATAAAAACCCGGTGCTGTGGGCAGATAGCTGAAGGCATAATGAGTTTCAGGGCTCTTCTGTACTTTTTTATATGTATTAGTTGGGAACAGTAGTTTATACAGTAGTTCTTGTAGTTAGGTCCATAGCCCATCCCATAACAGTTCATGTTGTGCTCGTTTGCCTGAAGTCATAATCTGAGTTTACCACTGGAGGAGATTCCACTAACTGAGAAATACACAAAATAATGTTTCTAGCTTGTTATAAACACCTTTTTGGTGCTTCTGTTGTGTCTTTGTAATCTTTCTCTTTCTGCTGTAGTTCTTTGAGCAGAATTTCTTTTTTTTTTTTTCTTCCCCAGCCAAGTGGTTTCCATTGAATACATATTCAGTCCCCTTTTACACTGAGGAGGGGACCCATTTCTTACTTTTTCACCTTTCTGTGGTTAGAGGTGGAAGAATGACTGTTATTTTTATGTTGTGTGGCACTGTACAGAAAAAGCTTATGTTTGACATCTGGCTTGAAGCACTCTCAGTGCATTTACCACAAAATACATATTTGTTTGAGAAATCTCTAGCATTAACATCTCTGAGCAGCTTATAAAGAGAGCACAGTACTGATACAGCCTTAGCAGATCTATAAACAGATTCTGTACACTGGAACCAGGAGCAGTGGGAGAATGCTAAAAGCCCATCTCATTAAACCCAAACTCAGTGTAAATACAGCAAGTGGCAAAATATTCCTGGATGAGTGTTAACTCCAGTCTGTGAATCCCTGTTTCCCCCCTTCCTTTTGTCTGTTTTAATGTAGGAGTCTGCCCCAAATACCCTTTTTGAGTAGAGGAAGAGAAGAGATGTGGACAATTTGTTCCCCTTTGGTCATGTACTCAGAGCAACTGTTTTCACCTTGTTTGTTCTCAGCCGAAAAAACCCAACACAATGTGGTTTTATCACAGACATTTGCTGAGGACAGAACGTGTTGATGTGTCCTGGCTCACTTGTCCCTTCCTGATGTTTCTGCATTTTATATTAAATCAGTAAAATACTGGAGCTAGAACAGGGTTTATGGAAGATGGTGGGTGGATTGTAGCAACGAGGAGTTTTTTGGAAAGCTGTATGATTTTCCAGCTTCCTCGTTGCTGATGCTTAAATGAGATTTATCTGTTTCTGTAAGACATAAAATAAAAGGCAAATACATGTATTTACTGATGACACTAATATGACCCTATCGACAGCAAACCAGAAAATGAGCTTTTTATGAGCTGTTCTAAAATCATTTCATAATATCTTACTGTAACCTAGTTTTGAAAGCCTTGAAAAGATTCCTACATACCAAATTTTATGACTTCCTGAATAATGTTTTAACCCAAGTTGTTCATGTTTACTGAGGTTGGTCTGAACGTGAGCCTTATAATATAATTCAAATCATGCTGGGAGTAGTCTTAAGTTGAAAATTGAGACCAGGAATGCAGAAAGTAAGATGTTGAGCAGTCCAAGTAGATGGTTATTCCAGAGCCTGTGGGAGGCACGCACAGAAACTGGCCAAGTTTGTGTGTAGTCAGCTGTAGCAAAGATATTAAAAATAACTAATTTGAAGACTATTGGATGAAGGCACACTAAAGCCTGACTTCACAGTCTGTTGGCATTCAAAAAAATGTGTTTTCAGAAAGGACACCTTTAGAAAGAAGGCTGAGTAGGATAGGCTTTTTGTAAGCCAAGGAAAAAAATTCAGCGTTGGTGCGACGTTTCTTCTCTTGGGAGGTGATGCCTGGGATCTGGGCTTCAGTTTTGTGGAGTATTTGTCTGTGAGGAAGTTCACCACATGCATTTCTAGTTGTGCAGAGTAGTGCTCTGTGATGTGGTCTGTTTTGATCAAGCTGTTCCTTTTTCTCTGGGACCAGCATTGTGAGTTGGCATCTTTAAGACATCACGTTGAGACAGAATTGCACACGCTGTGTTTTCTTTTGGTCTTTGGGAAAACTTGGGACCCAAGACATTTATTGAGCCCAGTGATTTTTTTTAAATAAAGTTCTGAAGATGATGGAATTCCTCTTTAAATTAAATCTAGCAGGATGCCATTGATCTGCCTGTAACGTGTGTTGCTTTAAAGAAATCAAGGCTTTATATTTGCTCATTCAACAGATTCCAGAGGAGTGGGGTGGGCGGGAAGCATCCTTGATCTTACTGTTATCTTTGTGAAGAGTTACAGGCTGAAATACTGTATTTGTGTGAGATGTGAAAGGGAACCCCCCAAATTTATTATAACCATATAGTTAGGAGTGATAAAAGCCAAGAAAACGTCCAAATGGCTTTGTGCTTTTTGTTTCTTCCTGTTAAGAAAACGTCTGTGTGTTACCCCCCAGCTCCTGTGTCATCTCTCAGACTGTTGTGCTCCTGAAGGACACAGCCAGTTGCTGGGGATGAGCTGAGAGTTTTGGTCTTGGTCTTATCACCCTGCTAACACCTTGATTAAATACTGCTTCGTGTGTGTCTGTTAGTACACCTGGCAGAGCTGTTTTAAAATTACGTGTGTTTGCTGGAAGAGCAAGTGCTTAAAGGCAAGAAGGAAATAATCTTCAGGTATTAAAAAGTTCGCAGGAGTTTTTGCTCTGGAGGCTCAGATGTCCCTTTGCAAAGGGAAGATTATTGTCCCTAAGCAGGAAAGTGGCATTCATTTCACTGCTGTTGGATTATGGCAAGCATATACTTCTGGGGATGACTTTGGCAAATGTTAAAACAGGGAGGGCTGGAAAGACTTAGTCCTTCTCCAAATACTCTGATATACCATGAAGAAATGTTGGTCAGGGTTGGATGGGACATAATATGCCATGTAATGCTGAATGTTACATATTTCAGGTTTGGTTTCTGTCTGTCTGCCAAGATCATGTTTTCTTCATTGTTGTACTGAGACCGAGGAGATCAGAAATCAGTCTTTCAATGGCAGTTAATGTTTGTGTTTGTATGAGAAAATGAAATGATCTAATGTTTCTAGTACTTAACTCTCATCACTTTTGCGGTGACAATTGGTTTTGGTTAAATAAGCCTGCCTGGAAACTGGTGAAGGCAACAGAAAATCTGCTCTTGGCAGTTTTACATCGGAGCTGTAATGTTTGGGGTTGAGGTATGAGAAAGTCAAGCACTTTAAGCTTGGTGTGTTTTGGTAGAATTTTTCCTTTTTTTTATTTTTTCTTATTTCTTTGATATCTTGCCTGTAAAATGTGGTTGTGGTACACAAAGGCATTTGCACACAAGACATGAAGTCAAATTATGTCCAGAGTTTCACGATAAAAAATTTTGATGAATTCTGTGTTTGCCCTGAAGATGAATGCAATATTGTAAATCTAGCTCTTAGCAATGTAGGCTTTGTTTTTTCTGTATGAAGACTGCCTTTCCAGTCGTTGTTCCTCAGATAGTATTTACATTTTAAAATTGTTGGCTTTTAACATTTTTGGGTTAATCTTTAAAAATTTTTCAGAAATGCTTTTGTTTTTCTCATTTCTTAGGCAAATGATCTGGACTTTCACACAAGTCAGAGCTGCAAGTTTGCATCCGAGATTTTCAGTTTTCATGAATTAATCCCCACTGGCATAGATAGGTGTCCAAAGTAGTTTATTGTATTAAATTTGTTTATTTAGCTACATTTCCATTAAAACTTGTTTTAGTCATCTTTATCCATTCAAATGTATGATTTTGTATTAATTTTAGTAACTTTTGGAACAGCACCTTAATAGTCTTCTGGTTTTGGTGATGAGAAGAATCTATTTCCAAAAGTGACTGGGGCTTAGCCTCCCATCTTCAGTTATGGGATTTATAGGATGTTAGGAAGCACCTGTTGATAGGCTGTGCTGTTCCTGTTCTACTCTGAGCTTGTTCTGGAAGAGCACACACTATTTCCTCAAGGAGATTTGGGTGTCATTCCAGTGAATGTGAAGTTCATCCCTGCTGATGGAAACTCCACAGAATGTTAGCAGGAGCATAGGAGTGAGCCTTCTGTACCTTCTGTCTCTGACAAGGTCAGGTCAGGGGCTTCATTAATGTGGAAAACTGTGTATTTTGGCTGAAGGAAAATGTCACATTTTGTCTATGTCTCAGGACTTCTTAGTGAGTAAGGAAATCACCAGTTGCTGCCTCAGGTTTCTTTTGCAAGTGTTGTTTTAATACTTTCTCCAGCAATGTTAAAATGTGAGTTTGTGCTCTGTGATGGGGGTCCAAAACTGAGGATGCAGAAGTATTGCATCTACCTGTTTTATTCTGTAACAATAAAAAACATGTTTGCAGCCCATCAAAAAAAATGCAATGCAGAACACAGTACCTTTCTTTACATGGTTGTTTGATGAACATAGGTTTTTCCATTTATAAATGTTTAGAAAATGGTTTCCAGAAAGCAGACAGTGTGTTTACTGCCTTCAGCAAAGATAACCATCTGCTTGCTTGCAGGGAAGTTTTGTTTTCCCTTCTTGCCTTGCCAGGTGTTCGTGGCAGAGCGTTTGCAGTTGCACTCATGAGCATTTTGAAGTAGCACACGTGACAATTTGGGCTGTGTCCTGGAAATGCGGGGATAATTTCGTACGTGGTGTTTGTTAATCGACTTAATTCGTCTTGCTGTGAAGACATTTGACTGAGTCAGTTCAGTGACACCTTTGTGTTGATTCTCAGGATGATAATTCTTTGAGGTGCTCCTGTGTCTGGTGCATGCTTTGGATATCGGTGTGCATTTTAGGTGTTTTAAATATGAAGTTTGTGATTCGCTGCCATGGTATTCAAAGACCAGTTGTTCATTTAGGAAACTCACTCTCCATGCAACCACGAAAGGAGTGGCAAATGTCACCAGTGTAGTCCATGTTAAGTACGGAGCTTTTGCTGTTTTTCTTGACTTTTCATCCTCCCATCTGTGTATTTAATGCAGCATTATTTCTTTATGAGGTGAAAAAAGCAGTAGAAAATATAGAATGTTTTTAAGGGATTTACTGTATTCTTTTTTCAATAGTTTCCTTATGTGCTAAGGCTTTGCTTTATGTTTTACATCTCTTTATGGATTGGCAGGGACTGAGAAAGCATAACTGAGATCACTGTGTATCACTGAAGTGAATATAAATTATTCTTACGTAATTTAAGGATCAAGCAAATGAAGAACTGGTGAAAAGGTGGATAGTGTAACATAGGGTTTCTATAATGGGACCTGAATTGCTTCTCTTTCCAGCTCAAGATCTGATGGAAGCCTTTATAGGGCCTCCGTAGTGTGCTTCTGTAGCCCATACTTTGGTAGCCAAATCACAAAGCCATTGCCTTCACTTTAATTGCTCGACAGTGCTAATCAGCAGTGGCTACCATTGCCATGGATTTCCTGTGTGGAACTGGATGATTATTACAGTGTTACAGAATTGTTTGGGTTGGAAGGGACCTTAAAGGTCATCTTGTTCCAACCCCTTTGCCACTGGCAGAGATGCCACTCACAAAGTCAGGTTGCTCAGGGCCCCATCCAATCTGGACTTGAACAGTTCCAGGAATGGGGCATCCCTAAGTTCTCTGGAAAACCCATTGCAGTGCTTAGTGTTAGATAATATTGTTCCCAGGTGCACTACAGTATGTACATTTGACATTTTCCATGGTGGTTAATCTATGTGTTTGAAAGTCAAAGAGCTTTTAAAGTTTGAAATGCTGGAGCTTTTCCACGATCTGTCCTTTTTAAGGTGTGATGTTTTCCTTTGGAAGAAGAGTAATAAATTTGGATGACTTATTTGTTTGCAGAAACTACAGTAGGGTTTTTGGTTTTCTTTAAATCTGAGAACAACATGCTGTCAGCAGCTATTATTGTAAGGGAATACAGTTTTTCCTTCCTGATGATATCCTACATGTTTAGGTAATTGAAGCAGTCATACTGAAGGAATATGATATTGCATCTATTAGAAACAAATATAGAAAGAATGTGAGTCATCTCAAAACAAAGCCATGAGGACAATCTAATTTTGATCTTACATGGCCGAATTCCCTGGCTCTTAGGAAATACATGCATTGGATACTTCTTGTTGACAGATGAAAAGGAAAATACATTCATTATATAAATTAATCACGTGGAATAGTAGTGTGGCTATATGACCTTTTAGCACGGCTCTTTATCATCTGTATCAGTGCAGATTCAAGTGATTTATTATTTAAAATTAAACAAATTTTTTTGGCAGTGACAAATGTATTTTTTTCAGCAGTACGTCTTTGTGTTTCAAGGGTGAAGAATGACTTGGTTAGTATTAAGTTTTTATTTCTATTATCTTCATTTTTACAATGTAAGCTGGAACTTTGTTACAATCATAGAAATTATATGGATCTGTAACTGTAGCCAAAAGCTCCAGATTTATCCATGTCTGTATCTTTTGTGCACAACTTTTTTTTTTAAGGTGGCTTTTTCACTTAGTGGGCAAAACCTGACACCTGAACCTGTCCTCTAGTGAATAACTCACAGCCCTTCACCTACATAGGACACTAATTTGTTTACTGAAATTAGTATCCTATTCTGACAAAATTTCAACCAAACACAGTTTAAGACTGACTGCTGTTCATTGGGGCTGCATATTTAAAATTCTTTTAGTGATATATGTCTTTTAGACATATAAAAGATATTCAAGTGACCTGTAAAACAGGATATATGGAATGAATAAATATTGATCCTTGATCTGAAGGTAGATCTCCGTCCAAGAGCAAGATGGATTTTGCCCTTGCTGAAGGAACCTCTCAGGTTGTATTGGTTTCTGGCAAGATCCTAAAGAAAAGGAGGACTGGAAGGAACAAGGAGAGAGGAAAAAATAACCTAAGCACCAGTGATGAAGCTTTCAGACTGGGGAGGCTCAGGCAGAATACTCGTTTACTAAAGGAAAGTGTAGGAAAAGAGAGGGGGAGCTCAATAAAGTTGCTAAATTTGAGTTGCCCCCCTATTCTGAGGTGAATAAATACGTTTACAGGAAAAGGTGAATGAGCACCACAGCTGTGCTACCTGTTGAGTGCAAGATTCACTTGCTGAGCACCAGCTTGCCTTGGTGCCTTATAATGGTGTGTGTTTGGTAAACAGTTTTAAATTTACTTCCTTTTTTTTTGGTGTGTGATGTTGCAGGTTCGTGGTAGCAAAGGCGAGGTCCTTTATGTCCTGGATGCGAGCAATCCGCGCCATTCCAACTGGCTGCGCTTTGTCCATGAGGCTCCATCCCAGGAACAGAAGAACCTGGCAGCCATCCAGGTAGGTTTGGTGGATTCCTGCCATTTGCCTCCTGTTCTTGATTTACTGATTTGATCTCCTCTTGGGTCTTTATGTCTTGCAATAAAATTGTAAGATCTGAGAGAAGCAGCAAACTGCTTTTCTGCCCTTCTTTTTAGAACTGAACTCTTGTGCTTAAGTATAATACCCTAAATAAGATTGATATGATGAAAGAATCTGATTGAATCTGATTAGAATCTTATATTATTTGAAAGGTTTATATTAATCCACTGTGATGAAATTGGACTGAATCACTTACATGAACTGTTTCTCCTGATTTGAAGTGAACAGTGTACATAAAAGTAATTTCCAGAGTAGTTAACTCACAATTAAACTGTAACAACAGTTTAATTTTCTCACTACTGTCAAGTTAAGCTTTTACCTGAATGTGGTTGCTTTATTGGCATTGTGGAAGCTAAAAATATAACTATATACCTGGTTGAGTCAGGACTAATTATTTAGGTGCCTACTTGTGTTTTGGGCTAAACTCAGGTGTGGATTTAGGTGTATGAAAAGCAGAATCATGTATTTGGCTTATAGTTTAAAATTTAATATAAAAGTGAGAGAGGTTTGAAAGGGAGTATGGTGCTTAAAATATTTCAGTAGAAAACAGAGAATCGAAAGATTTGATTATCTGATAGGATGATCATGTAGTACTTGAGGATAAATTAACCAAAAAATGATTTTGTAGCCTTTGCCGTTGATCTGAACCTACCCACTTTATTTTTGCATTTTTATAGTTGTCATTTGCAGGACTGCTCTGTGGTAACAAGTTCCACTGTTGTAATTACAAATTGTGTTGAAGTATGTTTCTGTTTTTCTTCTAGAAACTTCTTAGTTTCACTTGATACCCTAGTCCTTGTATACCAGTGAATAGTTGCTTTACCTCTCGTCTGTGAGGGGTCTCAGGCCCTCTCAGTGATTAGCACATCATGAGTGCAGAGGCAGTGACAGCAAGGGCAAAGTCAGGTTCACAGGAGGGAGCAGCATGAACAATTCATGGTCACTATTGTATTGCCAATAAAACACTCAGTAAGATGACCTCAGCTTTGCAATAGTTATTTTAGTGGAATATCCAGTGTGTACCAGTGGGCTTCTTGGGAAGGAAAGGGACCCCAGCAGCACCTCTGCAAAGCCATCTTGCTTCACCAGCTCCCCCAGGGGCACCTGAGTGCTCTCCAGCTTGGAAAGGCATTTTTTATTCTGATCACATCTTTCCTAATACTGCATGCAGGACCTTTCCTGTGCTCGTGGGTTTGCCTTCTCCTGCCTTGGCCTCCAAGAACTCATCTCCACGCATTTCCTGGATCGTGGTTTCTGCCCTCACAGACATTGCCAATATTGGTTTTACTCTGGCAAACAGGACAGCCTGGAGCTGCAGGCAAAGACCTGGAAAGGGAGTGGGCTTGTTTGAGGAGGTAGCAAAAGAGAACTGGCACAACAGGTGGGCTGAAGAGCTGGCTTGGTGCCAGGAAATTGGAGATAGAGAAGTCAGGTAACTTTTAAAGGAGTGGTTGTGGGCACAAGGAAACTGGATAAGGATTAAGAAGGCTGGGTTGGAGCCAGCTGGTCAAGCTCAGAAGGATATAAAAGCCCTGCACTCCCTCAGATGACAAAAGACTATGTGCTGCTTCCTCCTGCTCTGTTTTAAGCTTTCAGAAGTGATGACATATTGGTGGTGACACTTTTGGGTGATGGGCTGTCAGTGACCCCATGTTCCCTCTCAGCCTTCTCTCTTCCAAAGCACATGTGAAAGTGTGCAGCTGTATGGAACAGCCAAGAATCTGCATGGGAGAGGTGCCTGGAGTGGAGCAAAAGTGAGATAACGAGAGCTGCATTTGCTAGGCAGGTGGGTGAGGCTTGCAGTGTAAAAGATGACAGTGAAGGCCTCGGGGGAGAGAAACAAAGCTGAACAAAAACCAGGAATTGCCTGAAGGGAGGTTGTGATGCCACCATGACCAGCACTTGGAGTTTTCCCCCAGGACCGTTGTTGCCTGCTGGGGGTGGACATTATTAGGAAAACAGCCTGAGTGATCTAAGCAGATGGGCAGGTGGAACAACTGCAGGTGTGTTCTTGGAAACGGGAGGATTATTAAAATTATTAAAGTTATTAAGATTTCTTGCTATGTTTACTGTGCTTGCATGCATGTAGATTAATGTGCTTCATGCACGTGCTGCTGGATAAGAGGGAGAGACATAATTCTTCTGTGGTTTCTGGAGAACTTCCATTGGTTTCACTGGAAATGCTGCCTCGAGGAGCTACTACAGCGTGGGTGTATCTTGATTAATTAGTGCTCTGAATACCTGGCTATTAGCATGTTTGGATGGAGAAGCCAGACAAATTAACCCTGGAGGACAAATGAGTTTGGATTGGGCTGGCACCAAGGCCTTTCAAAGCAATTGCAACCAAGAGCACTCAGGCACTGACAGTCCGCAGTACATCTATCATTAATCTTTTTCCTAACCAAAAATACACAAATAGGAAAGAACCAGGATGTTTTTAGACACAGAGCTGTGAAATAAGCCCCAGATGCATGCAGAGAAAGTGCAGAGATGGTGAGGATGCAGCAGTATTGATAAGAGATTGGTTGTTGGGGTTCATGCCCCTGCTCTGTGTTAATCTGAATAATTAGTTCTGGTTGCTGTTTTCCCTGATTTACTGTGTGGTGTAAGGTGTGTCCCGTGATCTAGGTGTGCTATTTGGTTCTTTAATGAGTTATTTCTGCCTGGGATACATGGCTTTTCCTTTGTTTCTTTCAATTCTTAAAACTTTTAATTTTTAAAGTTGCTTCTTGCAAGCCAGTAGTGGGTACGTGCTCCCCTTCATAAGGTTGTGTTGCTTTTAGAATAAGGTTATCCTAAACAGTGATGTATTGGAGGTTTACCCCAGTGATTTTATCCTCTGTAAGTGGAAACTGAGTGTAGAAAGACCTTTTACTTTTCCTCATGTCAGGAGTTTCAGTATGTGATTTGTTTTGAGTTTAGACTGCAGTAAATTAAGGGTCTCTGCAACTTGACAGAGACATATGAAAACCAGCAACTTATAGCTGTGTGCAGAAGTTTGGTTGGGATGCTGATGGATATCTGGACTGCAGAACAGATCTAGAGAAAAAAATGCATAATTTTCTTTGTTTTCCAATGCTGCTGTTGAGATAAGGACAGAAAAGTGGTGCATCCTTGAAAGCAGCAGCTCTATCAGGTCTGCTGAATTAAGGAGGTTTCACTCTTGTGTGACAATATCTTGTATAATATATACCAGACCTTCTACGGCTCAAGGAATTCTACATCCCTGTTGGCAGTTTGAATTAATCTTAGTATATTACAAAAATTAAAAATCATTATCTTGTCCTTGTTCAGGGAAGCTCGATACAAAATATATGGCTGGGTGCAGTGGAAAGAAGCTTCAGTTAACTTGGCTGGATGTTAATCAGATAAGCTTTAAGATTTGTGGTAGAACTTGGGAGTCTTCGCTGCATAACAATGAGTCTCCTGCAGCATTTTGGGTCTGTACCTAAAGCAGTTGGTTGGCATATGGCAAAAAGAAAAGGCACCTAGGCACCTCTGAGTATCACTTTAGAAGACAGATGGTTTTGCTATAGATTTCCCCCCCTTTACCACCCACTGTGCCAACCTTGGGTATTTTAATTAAGCATTGTCAAAGACTGAAGTTGTCAGTTCATGTGTCTGTTTGGAAGCTTGTTTAGTCATTGTCGAGGTGTTGGAGCTTATTGTTATGTAGTTTGTCCTGTTGTGCAGAATGTGGGCTGGATCTCTTGGCCTTTTGTGGATCCACACTGATTTAAACCAGCAGAGGGTCTGCAGTGCGTTTTCCAGCTGTGCCTGCTTACTTGGTAGTGGAGACAACTGAACTGAGCAGGGTTGAGAGCCTGCTGGAGAAGGCTGGGAACCTTGAGGAAGAGAGAAGATAACACCGTGTAAACGTGCTGCTGAAAGCTGTTGGAACTGATGCAGCCAACTGGGGACAGAGCTAAGCTGTGTTAATTATCTACATTTTGCCATTTTTCTAATGCTCGAATATTTCATTTTCAAACTCTGAAGTTCTTGTCAAACAGAGTGTGGCAGGAAGAGGACTTCAGCGCTATCTTCACTTTGGTCTAAACTACAGTGAGTAGTGGAAAAGCCTCCCAGGTGAGGCAGGGGAATATTTCCCAAATACCAGGATAGTCATGCATTTTATCCATGTAGCCACGCTGGTAAAGAAGACTTAGAAAAGGCTGTTGTAGCACTGTGCTCCCTGAGGAACGGAGCCAAGCCTTCCATAGTTGAGGGCTGATATTGGTTCAGAGTCCTGTACTTGTGTCTGGAGTTTTCTTTTCCTGAGGTAACGATTTATTGCTTGTTTGAAACAGGAAGGGGAAAATATTTTCTACCTGGCTGTGGAAGATATTGAAACAGACACAGAACTTCTGATTGGGTACTTGGACAGTGACATGGAAGAAGAGGAAGAGGAGGAGGAAGAGGTAACCCTTATCCAGGAAGTTGAAGACAGTGGCAGCAATAAAGAAATGCAGCCAGCTGGTGAAAAAATTGCAGGTGAGCAAGATGTAGAAAATAGGGTGACTTGAGAGCTGAAAATAGTAACAAAGGAGAAAGAGAACTTTGACTGCATAGGTTTCTTGGGTTTTGTCTGAGTTCTTGTATGACTTATCTCTTTAGTTGGACTTGAGGTTCTTTTCTGTCTAATAAGAAGGGGTAATGGGTGAGCTTAGATGGACATGTAAGTAGTAACTATTTATTTTTGAACTAAAGACAGAGCTTGTTTCACCTGACACAGCCTTATGAAAGCTAAGTTTTTGCTCTTAGGGGGTTACTTTCCTTCTTGCTTTGATGGGAGAGAAATAAACCTTTTCATAAATCAGCCAATCCAAAAGGTGAGATGTCTAAGCAAAGGAAGGTGACCTGAGCTGTTGGGGGAATTCTCAGCATCTTTATCCCAGTAGACACAACTTGCATGACTAATTGGGGCCAACAGCCAAAGTCACACCCGGCTTAATACTTTGCCTCCATTTGCAGTAATGCTGATGGTAATCCCCTCAAGGTAGGCTGTTTATAATCCATTCAGAGACAGTGCCTTTTGGGAATTTCAGGATGCCATTTTGCATCATCTCTTTCTGGCAGAAAATCTCTCTTAGTGTAACCAAAATATTGCCTGAAAACTACTCTTTTCCACTGGTTTTGCCTCCAATCGTGCAGATCCCCTCACCTGTAAAGAGGACCATGCATGCCCACACTGTGAATCCAGTTTTGCCAGCCAGGAGATTCTAGCTGAACATCTGCAGACTTTGCACCAAAAGCCCAGTGAGGAAAAGGAATTTAAGTGCCGAAATTGTGGAAAGAAATTCCCTGTTAAACAAGCTCTACAAAGACAGTGAGTAGAAAGAGGAGTGTTTTTTCAGGGATCATTTTGATTGATTTCATTCAATCATCTATTTCTTTGACCTAATCACAATTTCAGCTTTAATTTTTATGCTTCTGTATTTGTACCCTTACTCTACTTTAGCCTTTTAATATGTTAATTTCTCATATTTGTGGGAGACTTCGATTTGAAAGGCAAAAATGTTGCTAAATTTTTATGTTTAAAAATCATACACTGTAGACCAGAGCTGCAGTTTGGTGCAAAACTCCTGGTCTCCATCAGTGGACTATTTAGCAATTTAGGAGGTGTAATTTTTAAACTGTGGATGTTGGTACAGAATTAAAGATGGATTTAAAAGAAAAAAACTCCCAACTTTGGGTGATAGAGAAAACCCAAATAGAAACATGAAAGATGTGAGATTTAATAGCACCTCTTTATTCTCTAAGAGAGTGTAAGTATGTGGTTTTGTTACTAAAGTCCTTACAATTTTACTTCTGTACAGAAATGAACTGGTTTTGTGTCTTGTTTATACATATATAATTTTTATTGCAATTAAATAGATATATTATATTTTATTATACATTTAATTACAGATGGTGCATTAGATGTTTAAGTGATTATACATAGTATGATTAATCTAACTCTCTTGTATTGGAAAGAAACACATTGCATAGGATGCACTTAAGGCTGCTCTTGTAATACATTGATCTTTTTTACATCTGAATGATGTTCATGTTCCTAGAGCTGGCAGCATTATGTGAGATCTGTGTTCTTTCATGGAAATAAATAAAATTGCATAGCAGAGAAGTATTTGGTGGAGGCAATTAAATATTTTCATTTGAACTTAGCCATGTTCCCTCTAGTCTATAGTAGAAGTTGGGTGTGTGCTGTGTATTTGCATCAAGCCAGGTAAGATTAATCCTCATGAGGGAACAGCAGTATGATCCTGATTCTTGCTGTTGATGCCTTTGATTAGTCCCACTAAATTCCAGGAGACTTCACATAAGATAGATTCCTCACCTACTTGAAAATTTGTAGAGGTGTATATGTATGTGTATATATGTTTTTAGCTACTGCAAGGCTGTGTAAGTTGTAGAATGTCCCCCTTACTCTCTTTCTTCTTTTGTTTGTCTTTTAGTGTCCTGCAGTGCACAGAGAACATCAGCCCAGGAGACTCCTCCAGAAGCTTTCAGTGCTCTGTTTGCAGTACTGCCTTCAGCTCAGAATCGAGGTTTTGTGTCCCAGTTGCTGGACTGCTGTCATAGCATTGCTGGGCTCCCTTTGCATGTTCTCTTTCCAGCTTGTTAGTGTGTGGGAATCCTAACAGGGACAGGAGTCAAATGCTTTCCTTCCTCTCTACTGTAAGTAATGCATGAGCTGGCCTTGGAACTCTGCAGTGCAGCATGTGTTCAGCTCAGAGTACTTGCTGTGTGTCTGGTTTCTGGAGATACTGCTCCATGTGCTGTTTTTTTTTTTCCTTTATTTGTAATTCCATATAGCTATGAGCAGCACAAGGAGGCGTGCAGAGGGGATGCCAGGTTCATCTGCAAGGCAGAAAGCTGTGGGAAGAGGTTCAAGAGTAAGGATGCCCTGAAAAAGCACAAAGAAAATGTCCACAGTGGTAAGAAAGAGCTTAATGCTTCTGCAGAGAAAACCCCCTCTAACATGTCCCTGCCCTAAAATTTGCAAATCAGAGTAAACATTGTCTTTGGTTTCTTTTTTTAATGGATTGGTTTGTATCAAAATGAAAATTAAGAAGTAACTAATTGCAGGAGTAACTATTCCTCCTCCCCCAGGGAGAAATTACTGTAAAGCAGATGAATCATTAGTCTCCTGCAGAAAATGTAATAGGCATCTTGGGAAGCTTAAGCCAGGCAAAGGATAGATGGAGCAAAATGTTTCAGTGGTAAGGAAAATCAACCCCTTTTGGCACAGCACAAACTGCTCCAGGAAGTGGTGAGTTCTTCATTTTTTTTTGTATTTTCAGGACACAATGGGATGTCTTTCTGGAAGACATGCTTCCCAAGTGATTAGGCTTGATGAGGGTGTTGCATAAAATTCTATAGCCTCTGTCATGCAGGAAGCCAGACCAGACAATCCATTAGTCCTCTTAGGCCCTGGTGTTTTTATATCAGTGCACTGCAAATCAATAGTTTTCAAGCAAACTTGATTCTCTTTTTTTCTTCATGAAAGGGCAAAATACTGCTTTCAGGTCCACAATGCAGGTCTCAGTGCTGGCATTCTGTTCTCTGCATTTCCCATCTCCATGTCAGTGGGAGATCCCTGCTGTGGGGACAGCAGAATTCCAGAGTGCACAGAAAAGTTGTGTGTATTAGTTGATGATGGCACCACTGAGATGCATTTTAAGACTTTCATTACGTGAAATCGCTTTCTCCTGACAAACCATTGCATAATCATACAAAAAATACCTTCCATAATCATTCTTATAAAAGGTTATCTCCTTTTTTCAGTATCAGTAAGAATTTTTTCATCCATGAGCACTGTTATGTTTAGGCTTAGCTTTGGTCAGTTATGTAGTACTATATGAAATCCACAGTTCTCTTGAATCGCTCCAGACATGACTGAGAGCAGATACCTGGAGGATATTTTTGCACTGCCCACACAATGAGCAGAGCTTTTATTTTACCCCTTGGCAGTTGTAGAAGTCACAAGTGGTGTTGGTGAAGGGAGGAAAAGAACCTGCTACTGCTGGGGGACACTTCTAGAATTCCTTCCTGCCTCGTGTTCCCTGGAGCCAAGGGAAAGTAGAAGGGATTGTTGTGTGTTCCCTGTTTTGCAAAGCTATGAACAGATACTCCCTGCTACCTTCCTTTCCTCTGACAAGGTCTCATTAATGTCCTTGTGAGTTGAAGGACTAAGTGTATTCCTGTGTTATGTGTGTATTTGCATATGTAAATCCTTGTCATAAGTCTTATAACAGCAAATGCATTTGTGAGATTTGATACTTCTTTTACACTACACATTTAATTATCGAACCAATGGATGGGCAGGGTGCATTGTAGTAAGAAGAATCAACATAGTAGGAATTCTTCCTCCATTCTTTTTAGTGTTCAGCGTAGCATGAACATGTTTTACGTAAGCTAGGAACTATCCTGCATGGGCATGTAGTTATAAACAAAGAATTAGGTTTCTAGTGGCTTTTTATTGTAGTAAAATGGCTTTGTGGGTTACTAAAATGAATTGCTAAAGGTAAGTAATAGATAAAACCAATTAAGTGGTCTGTCACTTTTTAAAAGAGCTGTGAAAAGGGAAAGAAAATGCATCTGGTATCTGACCTGTAGCTGGTTTGTAATTTACATTTTAGATGAGATTCGAGTTCGTGATCTGATGCCAATAGGATTTCCCTGTTTTGTTCATTTAAAGACCATTAATGAGATATTATTTTATATAGTAGGATGCTTAATGCTTTCTAAATAAACAAGGATGGGAAATGGTGGCTTTGACTTCAGTTTGGGATATTTTTTTGTCATTACTGCACTATTGACTTTGGAAAAAATTAGCTGTTCAGTTATGCAGTGAGTTGTTCCTAGATGTGAATTGTGCTCTTCATATGGGATTGGTGAGGTATGATAACATCTATTTGAAGGTTTTTTTTCTTTATTGTTCTAGTTTTCTTGATTTACATTCCATCAGTAACTGGTTTGTTGGACACCCACAGAGAACTCCTGACATGGAACACTTTGAAGATGGGCTACAAATGTGAAAAATCTTATGTCAGTCAAATGACCTGTGAAAAGTCACAGGCTCAGTGGAAATATTTAGGTTCTTTCTTAGCACTTCCTTTTTAAGATGTTGGTGGTATTTTGTTTCTGTTTCAGGAAATTCTAGGAAGAAGCTGATGTGTTCAGTGTGCAATAAGAAATGTTCCTCAGCAGCAAATCTCCAAGAGCATCGAAAGGTCAGTGAGATGAAGGCTGGCTCACAGCAGGCACTGACTTCCCTGAGCTGCGAGGCTGTGCTGCTCAGGTCACTTGAAAGCTGCTGTAATGCAAGCCTTTGGGTAATCTGCCATGCTTACAAACCCAGCAGATTACACTGGGGGGGCTTGTTTTTGTAATTGCACTTGGTTAAAGCAAAGATCTTCCTAAAGTTTTAGTGCATCTTTTACCCAATGCAAGTATGTTTGTGCTTGCATCATTTGTGCATCCCAGCATTAAGTCAGAGCTGCCCACTGTTCTTCAGCACTCTTAAACACTAAGCTTAATCTAAAGTGTGTTATGTAATGACAGCATACAGAGACCATAAAGTAGATTCGTAAGCCTTCAGTTTTTGTGTAGAATACGGTCACTGCTTTCTGACATACCACTAAGGTGTTATTTGTATTGGAGTTACTGAGGAGTAAAAAAAACATCTTCCTCAACTCCAAATTTTTAATGTCTTTTTGTTTATGCACATAATCTTTTATAACCAGAACAGGAGGGGTTAACAGTTCGAAAACCATCTATTGGAAGTAAGGGTGTTCATACAGAAATACAGATGGACTGTGAATATGAGATTCTGAAGCCATTATACCCAAAGGAAGTCCCTGCAAGATTAATTTGATAAATCACTAAAACCCAGGAGATTCTGTTTTTGCAAAAAACTGCATTGTACTGTTTATCAGATTAACTGTAAGTCTTTAATAATGCCCTGGTTATAGCCTGAATCCATTGAGGATATAGATGATATCAATTAAAATATGTTGTTGCAAAGGAAATGATGAGGCCCCTCCTTTTAAATTTGTTTTTCTCCTTGCCTGTGTTACTTGTCCTTTCTAGTCTAACTTTGTTACTCCTCAGGTCAAATCATGGTGTGCCTTGCCACACATGTAATTAAAAGCTTTATGCATTGGTGCACCTTTCACACATCAGGCCCTGAAAATGCAGAATATCCTGGTTAGTGTGTCCATTTTATTAAAGTGTTTGTTCTGTTTCAGTAGTTGTAATTCTGTGCAGACACTGTCACACACACTAACAAGCTTCTCAAATAGCACTGGACATGTCAGCTGAGCACTTACTCATCTTGAGAATCACCATGAAGATTTTGTGCATCAAACTTTTTCTCTTTTTAAATATCCAGAAAATAGATATTCCAGGTTCACTCACATCAGGTAGTGAAGGAGATTGCACATAGTAGGGCTCATGCTTGTCTGTCTGCTTGAATTACTTTGCTTTTGTGGGAAGTGGGGCAGGATCATCATTGCCAGAAATATTTATACAGGCAATAAAACCAGTAAGAAACCAATAGGTGAAACTGGGAGAAAGATGATTTTTTTTTTCCCCCACACATTTCCTGTCAATGTAAAGAACTAAAAGCAGAGAATAGAAAGGTAGAGTGTAACAAAAAATCAGCCCAAACAACAGAAAGAGATAAATGTGATCAACACAGAGAAGGGAGGTGAATAGGGTGGCTGTAAGGGATTGACATATGTTTACTTTCTGAAGACATGATCTGTAGCTTTCATGCCATCTTTTATTTCAACTCATTTTTAACTTTGTGTGTCTTGTGCCTTGCTTGTGTCTTCAATGTCTAAAGATCTTCCTTAGCCATGCACAATTAAACTTTGCTGTCATCACCTTCTGTCCCTTAATCTTACCTTCTTGTTTTCCAGACTGTGGAAACAGTAACATGTTAATTTTTGGTGTAATGCCTTTTTTTTTTTTTTTGAATTCAAGGAAATGTAGGACTGTGTATATCCACTGGTTCTCTTTTGTCTTATCCTCCAGCTGTACATTACTGTCTTCTATCTGATATTTACAGTAGTCCATGATTTGGGCTGTTAAGTGATATGATAGTATAAACAAAATTAAATTCCCAGCAACACAACTGAGGAAATGCTGCACAGGAGCTTGCAGAAGACTGGGTAATAGAATGAATGAGTTTGTTGTAAGATTTCCTTTCTGTAAGTTTGTGGTAGAACAAATAAACCACCATCTGAACTGTATTCTGAGACTTAAGTTCTGAAGTTCAAGTAAAATGTAAAGTTCAGTCGCTCAACAAAGATAATAATGAGCAAGGAAGCAAGGGGACTTTTAATCTTCACTGGTGCAGATTCTTGCTAAAGGATTCCTTTTAATATAAGGGTCTCCTGTTTTGGAATTTGAATTGCTCACAAAACTTAAACTTAGAAGTGAGCACATATACAGGAGTAGCCCAGCATTTTGTCCTTGATGACCTTATGTGCTCCAGTATTGAAAATACTGCATTTACAGTTTGAGACACTGCTGCCCCTCCACTGTCTTTTATCTAAAAGCTTTTAAGAGAAACAAGCCTGCAAGAGTTTGATAGTTCTTGTGTTTTAAAATTCATACAGAAGCTATGAAGTTGTTTCTGTGTTGTTTTTGCCGATAAGACTAGAAGGAAGAGTTCTGAGAAGTTATTCTGCATCTTTTTTGGTGCTTTCCTAATAATGGTATTTTAAAAGGATCTGATAGTTAGAAACACAGGTTATGAAAATTTGCAGCATTGTTATAGTGGTAATTTTTTGTTTGCAATTATGAATTTTTATTTTTTTGGGAGATGATGTTTTTCACCAAGGGACCAGCAAAGGGAAAATCACAGAATATTTATGAGAATTAATATGGCAACTGGCTAAGAAATGGTTACAGCTTGTTAGGGACTTTCTGTATATGTAAGATGCATGATCTTGTTTGAGGCATGCATTTAATTGTTGTTAAACACTCATTTTGCAGGTCCACGAGATCTTTGAGTGTCAGGAATGTGACAAGAAATTTATTTCAGCAAACCAACTAAAACGCCACATGATAACTCACTCAGGTAATGTACAAAAGTAACTCAAACCCATGGATATGTATTTAATGGATATTGAATTTTACCTGAACTAGTTTCTTATAGAAGGCTTGATGAAATCTACGTTGTGCTGAGCTGGTCAAGCAAATCTCAGGTTCCAAGGAAACCATCTAAGCTATCCTATCAAAGCCTTTTAAAAATCCAGATGTAATGCTGTAGTCTTCTCCCTACTGCTGCTCTGTCAAGCTGTTTTGTTGTGCCAGCTGGGGAAGATGAGGTCAGTGAGCTGGGATGGGGCAAAAGATGGTTAGGTGGCATAGAGAGGAGGGGAAAAAGCAGTGAGTGAAGAGAAGAGGACGGGAGCTGGGGCGTGCTGTCAGTGATCTGTGCTCAACAGGGAAGCATTGGTGTATGTACTGGTGGGGCCGTGTGCACGTAGTTTCTGGTCAGAGGAGAGCAGCTCATGCTCCAGGCCGTTCCCTAGACCACCCAAATATTTCCTTGTGCCCGTGCTCAGCCGGCACAGGTCACTGTGGGCAGGGAGTGGCTGGTCCCTGGGTTTGGCAGTGTGACACAGGTCTGCTCTGCCAGGTTTTTCTGTGTCCTTCACCGCTGATTAGAAACATCAACCAACACAATGGGAACACAAACATCCTTCTGTCAAAGGCATTAGCATTGAAACAAATGCAGGTTTTTACAGCTGCACAGCTGCTTACAATTGAACTATTTTCTTGGTATCAGTCCACGCCAAAAGCTCTTTTCTCACAACATAATCTGTATCTCAGAGGCTCCTGGCTTTCTTCTGACACTTTTGGATGAGCATTAGTGTAGTTAAGTTGCAGTCACCAGTTGAAGCACAAAGGCTTTTTGCATAGGAACTCTTGGTTTTGGAAGCTAATATGTATATTGTTAATTAAGATTTAAAACATTTAAACTGTCATGCCCTCTTTCACATTTGTAATCTGGAAACAGAGTTTTCCTCTTTGAAGTCATTCTCTTTTGATTTAAGCTAATTAATCAGAATTTAGTTTTAGCAATGAGTATTGCAAAGAATGTGCCAATTTCTTGAGATACACCATGGCTCATCTTTTGTGAAGTGACTTAACTGTCTAACATAAAGGGCATTAGATGTCTTTCTAATTGGTTTAATCTTAATTGGGTTGACTTAATTGCAAAAATCTCTCTGAGGAGATGACTGTCTCTGCCTTTCATCTTCTCCCCCTGTATAAACAGGAGATTAAATGTCCCCCACTCATTTTCTGCAGAAAAACGCCCCTACACCTGCGAGGTTTGCAATAAGTCCTTCAAACGACTTGATCAAGTGACTGCACACAAAATAATACACAGTGAAGATAAACCTTATAAATGCAAGCTTTGTGGAAAGGGATTTGCCCACAGAAATGTTTACAAGAATCACAAGAAGGTAAAGCACTCTGCTGTTGTTGTTTACAGGTCTGCCAGCCTCAGATTTGCAGATTTTTTTTTTCTTCTTTTAAGTGGTTCATCATTAAGCTCTGCCATGCTTATAAACATGGGATTAAAGTATTGGAGAATGTAGTGCTAGTGTTCTTTGTTATATCCAAAGTCTCAAAATACTAAATCAGTTCTAGTAAACAAAAAAGTTAAATAGGCAGAAGTAAATCACAGTTGCTTGGTTAAAAGCATCAAATAAATCCCATTTTGAATTTTCTGGTATTTTTTTTTATCGTTTTGTTTTGGTGGGGGTTTTTGGTTTTGTTTTTTTTTTTTTTTTAAATACTAGGTTACCAAGTTAAAAGTGTTACTGATTTAAAATGTCTTCAAATTTTTTTTTTTTAAAATACCACAATTGAATAAAACTGAGTGTAGTCCTCCTGAAGTCATTGTTGGACTTAGCAGCAGATGCTTTCAAACTGCACTAGATTCAAACTTGGTAGTGTTCACATAGTAAAACAACACCAGAAGAAAGGTTACCTGAAAAATAGGCTCACAAAGGGATGTTCTGCTTGTGTTGATTTAAGCTCAAATCTGCTTGGCCTAATTTCTATAATAGAAATATAGTTTTAACCTGGGTTAAAACTATATAGTTTTAACCTGGGTTTAAATTTTTCATGGCAAGTCTGTATCCATGACTGCTGTTTCGGAATTACAAGGCTGTAAAAAAAAATACAAACTCCACCCCAATATCCCCATACTTACAAGTCCTTCACAGTTTGGCTCGTGTTCTCTGCCATCTGGGAATTTGGCACAGGATCTTTGCACCATCTCTTGCCCTGGGAGCCATAAATCCTGTCAGAGCAGTACTAATGCCCCTTGCAGGATGGAGTGGTGATGACTGTCTCCCAGGGAAAGCACACAGCAGCCTGCTGAAGGACAAGATTAGCTCCCAAACGTGCTGTCATTGCATTTTATGGCTTAGGCTTCAAGAAAACAGGACAGAATCTCACAAAGTGGATGTATTCTAAGGAAAATGCATAAAATATCACCTAGAAAGATACTTCTTTATCTTAAATTAATATTTTTTTACTTGTTTCCTTGTGTTAATTCGCCATTGGTGACTGGTAGGGAGTTTGGGTTGAAAATGGACTTGAGGATTAAGTATGAATGAGTAAACACTTTGACCCAATTCTGTGTTTAAAGCAGCAGCACCACTAGCACAAGAAAGGATTAGAGGCTCCACTTAATGGGGAAAATATTAAAATTCAGACAGATTTAGAGAGTACCTAATTTTGACAGAATTCCTTAAAGCATGTTGGAATGCTTGTTTCCTGAACCTGTTTGCACGTAGTACTGGCTGTAAATCACCTCTGTCCTATAGCGAAAGAAACTTATTCCTGTGTTTACATAAAGATTCCCCAAACAGCTGTAATATTCCCCCATCCACCTGTAGGCCTCTACAGTCACTTGTTCCATGAAGAGATGAACAGGAGAGGCAGGAGACTGACAAAGATGGCCTGAATTAGTTTTTTTTTTTAGGCATGCCTCTCTCCATGGAGTAAACAATGTGAGGAGAGGTAGGAGACAAGAGGGGAGTATGGATATGTATGCACAAAAACCAGTTGTCACATAGATAACTCAAGGATGTGGGGGCTTGGGATGCTAAAATAGATTTAAGTGCCATGATTTTGGGAAGGCTTCCTAGGGGAAGAGGACAATAGTTGTTTTGCTTGTTTGCAGGAATGTGGAAACAAACCTTTTATTATCTATCATACTTCTATATATTTTTTCAGCTTGGGTTTTTAATGATTTTTTAGCTGTGTATTCCTTTAAGAGGTCCTCCTAAGTTTAATTTTCTTTTTGAAGGAGAAAAGTTGAACTCTGAATAATTTCAGCATACTTTTTTGATTCTAATTACTAGTTAGTAGCAGGGAGCTTTGAATGATGGGTTTAGTTGTTAAAAATATTTAAATCAACAGCATTTCGCAGCAGACAGGCCTTAAAGTTTGATAGCAACATGTTTAAAAAAACACTTGGGGTTTTGCAGCAGGCCTCCATCCTTTTTATATGTTACAAGTAACAGAATAGAGCTACATTTTGTGCCTTTGAATTCCTGATTAGTGTGGAAACTTGGTGTTGTTTCTCTGGTTGCTTTATGGGGGTTATTTAACCTGATTTTGTGTTGGAAGTATCAGAATAAAGGTGGCTCCCACAGCATGTGCTTTTAAACATCTTTTAGATGTGTGTGTATGTTGGGTCATTTCAAAGGTGCCTGTGACAAGGCAAGGCAATAATATCTGAACTGAGGAGGCAAATGGAGTGTGGGATTGTGCTGCAGATAAAAGCAGTCACCTCTCATGCAGGTTGGATTGGATGAGGGTGCATGTTCTGAGCCATATAATGCAGATTACCTCCTTCCAGGAGATGTTTTTGTTCCATCTGCTCCTTTGTTGCCGTGTGTAGAGGATGAGTTGAGAGAATAAACTCTGAGGATATGACAGTGAGCAGAAATAGGTCATCAGACGCAGGATTTTAAAGGGTTTACGGTTAATCCAGGGTTGTTTGGTCCTGGGGAGTGTAATGATTTGAAACAACTGTATTCCATCAGTTTATCTGTTGGGAATAAGTAGCCTTGGGCTGGGCTTAAGCCTCCACAGATGCTGTGGTAGGAAAGGCTGCCATGAAATACTCCCTAAGAGCCCGTGCTCAGTTGCTGCAGATCATCTGTGTCCCCTTGCATGAGGTTATGCCTAGGTAGGTGGTTTTCTTTGTAGTGAAGTTAAGACGTGCACATGAATACATATATTGTGATGAGAAGACCAGGAGAACTCTAAAGGAGATGCTAAGGGGGAGCTCTGTACAAATCAGTGTGCTCTTCAGAACTATCACTCAGGTGGGGAGTGCTCTAAAGCAGGGCATTTTTTCAATAACCAGCATGAACTTTGCGCTCGTGGAAAGTGCCAGATTGACAGCTCTGGAGACTGAACCCTTCTATTTATCCACAGAACAGGTACAGCACAGACAGCAGCACTGCCAGCTTCCCCCCAGTGTCTCCTCACTATGTCTCAGCCCTGTTCTGGAGGAACCCCCTGTTGAGGTGAGAAGGTAGTTCAGTCTCTTCGTGTCCTGTCAATCCTTGGCCTGACTGCCCAGGCTGTGAGCAGGGTGGCAGCTCATGCAAACTGGGATGGAAACCTGTAGGACCTGGGCTGAAACATTCAGCAGATTTCATGTAGCAGGAGTTACATGAAATATTCCACACATTTGATGGTTCTCCAGTTGCCTTTTTGCTTTAAGGGACATAGACTGAGGTCAAGGAACTGACTTTGAATCCAAAGCCTCTCTGTACCATTGCAGTACTCATGTTTTGGTACTATGTGTGTCTAAGAGGACATTGGGGTTAAAATCCCCACAGTCCCCTTTTTCTCCACAGCTGAAGGGATAGCTATAATGGTTGTAGGGTATTTTGAATAGCAAAAATAGATTATATAAATATGTGCTATGCTAATATTTGCCTTTAGTCTAATTAACTCGTTTACCTAATTTCCTGCATATTATAGAACACTGACTGTCCGTCCCCTTTTCCTCCTGGCACTGCAGCTTCTAATAAGGTCCTTGTGAACTAATACAATACTGAGACACTGGTGCTTTAAAAACCTGCTTTCCTTTGCAAAAACAGTAGGAAATTGGGTAGATAATAAGTTGTACAGATTAATTTACTATCTACAGTGGGATAGTAGTTAATAACTCTATGAAACAGGGAAAGTGCTTTGAAATGTATAAAAGTAGAATAAAACTGGATGTTTACCAAGCTCCAGAAAAGAAATTTGCTTCAGCAACCCTGTAGTTTGGGAGATTCCTCCCAGCCTGGTCTTTTATTTTATTCATGGCTTTGAGGCTGTTTTTCAGCTACAGCAAATTCTTCTACAGCCAACAAAAATCTCAGTATTGATGATTCCATGGCTTTGGGGGTTTTTTTTTGAGGTTTTGTGGGTTTTGTGTGTTGTGGGGATTTTTTTTTTTTTTTAATAGAAGAGACTGAAACGAGGCTATGTAAAGCTATTGTCATGATTTGAGAAATTTTCTTTGCCAAATGTTAGGTACTCTCTTGAGCATCAGATCAATGGTAACTTCAAAAAAGGGGTTTGTGTGCATGTTTTAAAGCATTTATTGGTATTAATAAGTACTCCAGGCCAGTGTTAGTACAGCTAAAGCAATTCAACTGAGCTTGTAGGTTTTTTCCCTGGTTATTCTGTATTTTTATCTCTGTTTACATGCACACCTCATGTGACAGTTCTGAGGACTGGGAAGGCACAGTTATTCAGTGGCTACTGTGCTGACTTCCAGGATTCTGGATCATGGCAGAACAATTGTTTTAAATCTTCATCCCCTCCTGAATCCAGTCCAGAAAATTAGCTCTAATTACTATAATGACAACTAATTGATTTCCGTGAGCCTGTCCCCTGACATGTTGTCTTTCACCTGCAGACCCATTCTGAGGAGAGACCGTTCCAGTGTGAGGAGTGCAAGGCTTTGTTCCGGACCCCGTTCTCCCTCCAAAGGCATCTGTTAATCCATAACAGTAAGTGCTAAGTCAGAGAGGAAAAAGGGCTTCCTCAGTTCTCACCTTCCATGGAGAAAAACAGACATGTGGCACCTTGCTCCAGTATGCAACTTGCTGTGTTAAATTGGTATTAAGTTTCAACTCTAACCCCGGGCAGTTAGAAAATTCAGAACCAAATTCAAACCTTGTCTTTCAGTGCACTTAAATGCAAATCCAAATATGCTGTAGAAAATCTAGCAATGATTTGAGGTCTGACGACAAGAGGTTTATTTCTGCATTCAGTGAGCTGGTGTTACCTCCATTTTAAGAAAGAAGAAGTGGAAACAGAGATAACTTGGTGACTTACTCAGCTTTTGTGGGTAATCCAGTTTAGAGCTGGACGCTGAGATTGTCTCTTCTGTGCCAGCCCAGGCTCATGTTTCCTGCCCTGGCATAGAACTAACAGCTCAAAGAAATGCTGTGCCCATTTTACCTCATGAGTAACTTGTTCTTGGCACTCTGTCCTGTTTTTAACTGACTGTATGAAAGTTCATTTTTGGTGGAATTTTCTCCTTCTTTAATATTTGCAGAGCCCAAACTGCCATTCAACCCTGTGAACATCAGCAGTTTATGTTTTAGAAAATACTCATCTAAAATCCTTGTAGCTTAGAAGGCAGTACTTAGATTTGGGAAATTTTCACATTGGTATAACTAAGAAACCAACAAAACTTTTTTTTTAATCTCATATAACAGTGTTTCTGTTAGATGAATTATTGGACTTCATGTTCAGTTTGTTCTTTTATTGTTGTCTTTCAAACCTTCTGCAATTCTATAAGGCCGTGGATTTTGTAAATTTTTTTCCAATGATTAATGCTAAAAATGGTGAGGGAAAAGTTAAAAGCGTCTTCAGTAATGTATATTCTAATAAAAAGCATTTGCAGACTATCCAAAAGCTGTAATTCACAGTGGGTAGAATTGTAGGCCTTGGCGAAGGTCTCACTAAAAACATCTCTTTGACTTTTTTTTAAGAGGATGGGAGCTCAGGAAATTTGAGATTCTAAGTTAGGACTGTGATTTGTGGCAGATCTAGCTGTTCCTGAAACACCACTATAAAAAAAGAAGAGGAACAGGCCAGAATTTCTAAATGGATTTAGCTGCCTTTACCTATCTGTGCTGCAGGAAAAAGAAATGGTTTGTGAAACTCAAAACTTCTAGGAAAAATCAAACTTCAACCTACAACACATATTTTTTAATTTAATATCCCCGTGTTGTTTTAGAAGCAAACACGCTGCAGATTGATGTAGAATTGCTTAAATTTTACCTCACAAACAACTTAGTGGAAAAAATTATATTTCATAAACTCCCTTTTCAGGTGTTTCTGTCTTGCAGTTCAACAAGGAGTCAAGATCAGCCATGTCCATTTGTTGAGAAGGACATCATCCTTTCTATATCTTTGCTTTCCTTTCTCTCAAAAGATGTACACAGGTGTTCAGAACATGTCTCTTCCTCTCTTTTAATTAATTTAATTGGATTTTAAAACTTTCAGCCATGTTAACCTGGCCTCTGCCACCACCTCCAGAGACATCACCCCAGTTAGAACAGTAATGCTGCTGCAACCCTTCATTAATTCCATGTTTGTCACGTCACCTTGCCTCTGCTGATGGGAATGAGATAGCATTTCTTGTGTTGAGAATTCTTTTAAATTCAGGAAAATGCCTCTTACCAATTAATTTCAAAAGATGCAGCCTGTTTTTTTCTGAATTTCCCCGTAACATTTTTACCCAATGTGATGCTCCTTTTCTTTCTGTTCCCAGCACCTAACTTCTCATTGGTCTTTGCTGCTTTTATTCGGTTTTCTGAAACAATAAGCATATTTCCACAAAAATCTGGTATCTTTAGACCTGCTTTTTTCTCTTTATAAGGTGAGAGGACCTTCAAGTGTGATCACTGTGATGCTACTTTCAAAAGAAAGGACACATTAAATGTTCATATTCAAGTTGTACACGATGGACATAAGAAATACAAGTGTGATCTCTGTGACAAAGCTTTTGTGACACCCTCAGTCCTGAAGAGCCATAAGAAAGTGAGTAGAATCAACTGATCATATTCATTCCTGGAGCCCTAGCCTGTAATACATTGACTTCAGTTTAACTTTTGGTCAAGGATCTTGCCAAGATGGATCATAAGGTTTGAAAATATTTCCATTGATGAGCTCTGCATAGATATTTGAAGTTTTCCTCGTACTCCTTTCTAAAAAATTCAGTATGACTTGCTATTTCACATTAATAATGTCCATATACATATACGTGTTTTTATTTTAATGGAAAGCAGCCAGCATTTATTCTTTATCCCTATACTAACTTCAGCATTTCTTCTTAATTGTAATTGCTTTTTCTTTGTGCTGCTGTCAGACTAGGACTAGCTGTATGCCTTGTAGTTGTAATGTATTGATCCCAGACATCCCTTTTGTATTTGGATCTTTGGAATTAATTAATAGCTGTCTGTCTGGTATTCCCCAATGTTGCTGTTAGAGTTACAAGTGATTTCTAAATAACTGTATCCTAATCAAGAGGGATTTAATTCATATCCTAAAGTCAGAGAAGGAAAACTGTGCAAATCCATCTAGTATTGAAATGAGATCTCATTTACTCTTCCTTCAGCTGCAGCACAGTATGTAGTGGGTGAGGGATGGTTTTTATGATGTAATGAAGGACTTTGTCACTTCAGAGTCTTTCCTAAAAGGAAGAATTAATTTTTCCCTACCTGAAGAGTGCAAAGCTTGAAACCCAAATAGTCAGCTGTACATGTAATTGAATGTGTTATCTTTCCTATCCCATTTAAATTAACACTTTTAAATGAAGTAATACAAAGTTCTCCACTGAAAGAACAGCTGGAGTTATAAGGCAAAGTTATTCAATAGGCTGAGAAAAATCTTCAGTTCAGAATGGGATGTGGAAAGTACATTGTGAAAAATGCTGAGGTCCTTGTATGTAATTTATTTCAAGGTGTTCTTGCTGTTATGCATATTAAATTTGTCTGGTAACCAAGCCATTGTTTGCTGGTTTAGAAACCACTGTCACAGATATCTTGCTGAAAAACAGGTGTCTTACTCTTGCAACATGAAAATATGCATTTTTAGTAGTAATAGTAGTAACTATTTAGGAAGTAATAAACTTAGGAACTGAAAGGGCAGTTTATTTTGCCATTAATAATAAAATTTGTTTAGAAATTTTAGAAAAAAATGGAAAGAACACCTGTAGCTAATTCCTTAGAATCTCTGCCTGATGTGGTGGTATAAAATATATAGCGAAGATAATGTCAATACAGTTAAAATATTCCATATTTCACATCTTTTAAATCTATGCTGAATAGTCATTCTTGTCTCTCCCCACCCCACGCAGACTCACACAGGAGAAAAAGAGAAGATTTGCCCATATTGTGGACAGAAGTTTGCAAGCAATGGAACACTGAGAGTTCATATTCGAAGCCATACAGGTATTTATTCATTAGAGTGAGCAGGGAATGCTTTCTGAATCTGTAATAAAGTACCTATCTGCAAACAGAAATGCAAGTTTACAGGTAGCCCTAACGCAGCATCTTTTTCAGACGTTTCACCTGCTTAATGTGTAAAGCCTGTTGTCAGGTTTCATTCTGTGAGCTTTCATCTGAATAAGTGGCATCAGGCAACCGAAAGAGGTTTCTTTGGGATAATTTGTCTCCAGTGGTGCAGATTCGCCCTTGGCAGTCAGAGCATCAGTTAACAAACAGCCTTCCTGTGACATTGCAGTCGCTCTGCATGAGCAGATTTGCTTTGCTGTGTTTTCTGTGTACTGTCAGTGCTGCACATCAGTTTGCACAGAGTAGAGGGGCCTTAGTTTTTCAAGTTGACAGTGCAGAGAGCTCTTGGGAAGATGCTTTATAGCTGCCTGAGTAAAGATGCTTTTCACACATGTGCTGCTGCCAGTTCCATTTAGGCTCTCTCAAGCAGGCTTTCCTAAATTTAGGGTTTAGGCTGAGGTGAATTTCATGAAACCACACACCAGAGATCTCTAACCTTGCCTACAGAGCTGTGCAAAATTTGTAACCACTGTTATAGGAGAAACAGTAAACTATGGTATTTTGTACTCTGATCCTTTCTGCTTCCAGTCTAGCTGCTATTATGATGTCAATCCCGTTTTTGGTGGAGAATTTTGTGGTTCCCATCCTTCACTGGGAGAATTAACTGAAACAGATTTTCATGGTTGTTTTTGATGTCATTCTGTTAATGGTTCCTGACCATGTCTTGGTTATCCTGGGGAAAGATGGGGGGGAGTTGCTGCTAAGTTGAGACTTTTGGCTTAAAACAATTATTTTCAAGTTACATGGCAAAATAAATGCCTTATGTAAAGTTGAGTGAGAAAATGCCACGGTTGGGTTCACGTAGCTCTGGAGAGATGGTTTTGCTTTGTGCTGTACCTGAAGACTTCAACCATGTTGTTCATGGTCATAATATATGCAGGGTAATCATAAGAGGGAATTGTTGTCCAGTGTTCAGTCAGCCTGAGGAAACATAGCTTTGAGGTGCATCATTTCCAAGGGAAGTAAGGGTAGCTGAAGGAAATCATTGTCATCTGCAAACAGGGCAAAACAAAAAAAAAAAAGTTGAGCACTCATTTGGTGGCCCTTAGCAATAAAGTTCCCTGCATTGTGAAAACCCTTGACAATTTTTCAGGCAAGTTCTGAGCAGTAAGAAATTTTCAGTTCATCACAAACTTTATTCAGAGGTGGACGTTTGGTTTCTAGACGTTGCAGTGATGAATACTTCATGTTCTTGGTATCTGTTAAATTCTGTGGGTTTAAATTCATCCTTTCAAAACTGTGCCCTCTTTTTTTATTTTGGTCAGACTTCAAAGTATCATTTTTCATTCTGGGCTAGAAGTGAAACAACCAGCCACTGTCTGTTTTCAAGGGATGATTCATCTTTGTGAACTAAGCCTTGAGCTGGGGCTGGGCTTTTGGTGCAACTAAGCAGTACAGCATCAGTGTAAAATACTGCCCAGACCTTCTGGTCTTAGTCATTACACGTGAGGAGTTTTGAGGTCCAGGTCCAGACCTTTGCATTATCCCGTTTTCTGGGCATGTGGTCAACTAGGCTTGGTTTTATTAGCTACTTTGAGGATTTGTTCTGTATTTACAAAATAAAGCCAGGTAGAGTTGTTTTAAAGAGAGTTGTCCATCAATTGTTGTCCTTTTTGTATTATAAAGTTGTTCTTTACAGAAGTTGAGGTTCTTCAGTGCCCTCCTGGTTCTGCTTTGGAATTGTATTTTTGATGTGCTTAATAATCCATATACAAAAAAAGAAGCTCAGTGGGGTTTTGTCTTTTATTTAGTACACAGCGTGCGTTCTTAACTGCTGTTCCTCACAGCCCTGGGCATGCTTCCTCCCTGAGCAGTTTCCATCCCTCTTTTATTTTAGAGAAAGGCTCTGTAAATGAGCCCTAGCAGCACTTGGCCTTTTGCAGAGGCTGAGCTGGGGGTGAGTGCTCACGTGTGCGTGGGCAGAGGGAAGGGGCTGAGGTTTGCCTCGGAGCCTGGTGCAATCCATCATCTGCCTTCCAGCCCTGGCACCGCGGAGCCAGCTGAAACACTAGAGCACATTCTCCCTCTCCTCCATCCTGTTGCTTTATGACTTCTTAGGGTCAGAGGGAGCTGGGGTTAATTCAGCAAAAGAATCCTTTGACTGTGATATAAATTCCTTGGCTTGTTCGTAAATTGTAAAAGAAATTCTGTGCTCTGCTCCTGGGGCTTGAAAACCGGGGGCCAGGAGGTTAATTGCTTCCCTAAAGTTTTGAGCAACTTTCAGTGTTAACAGTGACTGGCTGTGGTTTGTGCAGCTTCCCAGTTGCCTTACAGGTACCTTTTTGAATCTGTTAACTGCTGTCCTGCACGTGTGTATTTGTGTGTGCCTGGGTAATCTGTGTATACACATTTTATCTGCCTGATGAAAACATTGTTGCTTTCCTAATTAGTTGTGTTCTAATCCCTTTCCTCCTTGCAGTATAGCACATCAAGCTGTGCAACAGTGACAGTTGTCATGAAGTACTTTAGATTTGCAGCTAAATTTATTTTAGAGTTAAAACCATTATGGGTTCTGACTAATTCCATCCTTTCCATGCTGTCTTTTGCCTGCTGTTACATAGACACTGAAGAGGGACAACTAATGACCATAAATGTCTTCCAGAAAATGCTTATACATGCAAGTATAGGTTAACACATAACCTTCTTTTGCTTTTGCTGTCGCAGTTCAAGTCATTAAAACAAAAAACAAAATATTAGTTGCAGAGCCATAATAAAAATCTTTGATTATTTACATAGTTCAATCATCTCTAACCACAGTAGACTTCAAAGTAGTTGAAGGAAGTAATGAGTTCAAGTACAGTATAAATTTCATTTATTACAGTGTAAAATGTGTCACCAAAAGTTTAATAGCTACACAAGCAACTGTTGTTCAGGTACATAATAATGTACAGGCAGAATCCTCATTCCAGCAGATCTTCTGGCAAATTACCTTATCAATAATTTATATTTTCTTTAATGGAAAAAAAAGATAAAAGGGAAGCTTGAAGGAACTTCCTCTCATATCATAGTGAAGTATGTGAAAGAATGTATCTGTATCTAGTCAGTGAACAGCTTGCAAATGTCTGCAGATAGGTTGTTGCTATTCAATAACTTATAAATGGTCTCTCTTTTATCTACCCAATTTAAAAAGGAGCTTGCAGAAGGCCTCAAAGGTAAGGATTCTGCATTTCTAAACCTTTCAGTTTATACATCATTGTCCTGTTTATCTCTAGACAACAGTTAAATCTTTCAAAATACCTGTAAAGTTTCATGCAGCTGTCAGCTGCTCGTTGTCTGTAGGCATGAATGAAGAAATGCTCCTTTAAGGGGTAGATTGTTTGAATATTAGTGACATCTTTAGATCAGATGAATTACTGATTGATTAATGCACAGGATTTTAAAGACTTCCTTGACCATTGGGTTCACTGAAACCATAGATGTTAGTTCTCCATCTATAGGGAAACCAAATTGCTTAATTCCACTGATAAATGCAAAGAATGAAACTGGTTTATTATTTAAGTGTGTGGGGTTTCTATTTGTTACAAAAATCTTAATATCACTGTAGAACTGATGAGAGTCTGTAAATAAGTAATAACGGTAGTTCATGCTTTACTGCAGGGAATCAGTCTTCTTATTTTGTAAGAATTTTTTACTTAGACTTCCTGATTTATTTAGTTACAAATATCTCAGTTATATCACGATAATTTTGATGAACCAGATATGACAAACATTTTATCTGTTGGTCTTAACTAGAGGTAATCTGAATGCTTTGAATAAATCCAAAACTTCGCAGAAACCTTCTCAGCTGTGAAAATACCACTTCCATACCTCAAGGATTAAAGCACAGCTAATCTGCCAAATTTGACTGTTGGTTAAAATGAAGTAAGAAATGTCTGTAACTGAGCCCTGCCTGAGCTCTGTTTCTCAGAGAACAGGATGTGGAGCAGTTAATGACTTTCTCTGGCTCACTATTAGGATAAAATTACCTGTGCCTTTGGTGTTTCTGGGTTTTGTCTCAGCTGATGTCCTCAAGTATTTCATCTTTCACATCACAAACTTGTGATGCTCTTGGCTAATCCTGTGTAGGCACTTCTGTACCTTCTAAAGGGCTAAATTTTGGGTGTTTAGTGGTTGTACAACACCAAAGTGGTGAGATTTACTGAATATATGCTTGAAGTGTTAATATTTACTCTGCATTCAGTATTGGTTTTCTGGCATTTTCTAATTTTAAGTTCTCTTGAAATCACTTGGTTCCTCGAGTTCCTGTTTAACCTAATTTTGATTCCTAATGAAGTTCTTTTCAGCAGAAAAAGCTGCCCTGGCAGCTGAGGGCAAATGTGTGAAGCTGTCAGGTGCTCTGTAGGAGCAGCCAGAGCTCCCAGGCATATGTCCCACATTAGGGTTTTGTTACATCTGTTCACCTTTTGCCCATCCTCCCGTGCTGTTGAATGCTGTCATCGCCCCAGCTTATCTCTGACCAAAAGAGCCCTCTTGCAATTCCCGTTCTGGGCTGCCCTGTGGATCATCTGGCCTGGAGTGTTGTGTGTGTGATCCAGATGGCCCCCTTGCCTCCCAGTTCCTCCCCAGGGGAACCACTGCCTTCTCTTCACAGTTGGGAGATGGTGGAATCTCCCTTCCCCCCTCCCCTGCCCTAGTCTGAAGTTGGGGCTTTATAAATTGGACTTCACCGTAACTCCAACTTTACAGCTCTGAAAGTTGACATTTTGAAATAATATATACATATATATACATACCAAATAATCTTCTAATCCTTGTAATAAGTAGTTCAGCATCTAAAAAGGAGCTATATTGAGAAGGTGGAAAAGGAGCTGTATTTAGTAAATATAAATAGTAAATGGTCTGTGGTAGAGTTGGAAGGACCACATTGTTCTAATTGTGTTTATTTCTTTAAGAAAACCAAAGAAAACAGGTCCTTTGAAGTTGCATTCACTGCACAGTATCTGATGTTCAGGGCAGTCTGTCATAACGGCTTTTTGTGATTTTCATGAGTGTTGACTTAGACCAGTGGTGCTGAATACCCCAAATGACCAAGCAGAGACATATTAAAAAGCATATAAAAAGTCCCCACCCTGACAATTTTGCTGCATAATTCAAATTCTTCATTCCTTACTACAGCAGTTCAGTTCTAATAAAGACATCTGACTTTGTAATCAGTTTGTTTTATTTTTTTTTGTGGCTCAACTGACTACAGGGAATGCCAAACACAGTGTGCAAATAGCTACACGTGTGACTGACTTGAATTATTGTGTCTCAGAATCTTTATTAAATGTCAAGCTGTAGCCACTGAAGTCTTGAAATCTTAAAAAACTAATGTGTATTTAGCTTTGTTTCTTAATTGTTTTGCTCCTGGGATATGTCAGTTTGGGAGAACAAACAGCACCTTTGGTTGCAAATGTCTCATGGGAAATTGTCCATCCTGATTTCAAACTGGAATGGAGGAATCTGGTGTTTAACTTCTGTTACATTACAGTAGGTATTGTGATCTCAAGCCAGAGATGTACACACTTGAGGGGAAAAAAGGTATGAATTCTGTCATGACATGGTTTCAGATCCAAATCCCATATGTTTTTCAATCATGGAATTGTTTTTCATAATCCTTGTATTAAGGTTAAATGTATTTTTATTACATTAAAAGCTGTGGGTTTTTGTTCATATGAAATCTGGCAGTAGAATGTCTAGACTTTGAATTATGTTAAATCCGCTGCAATTTATCCCAGGATTATTTTTTTGAGGCTGTTTGTACAGAAGTGCCATCAATGTGTTGAGCAGTTTGTTCTGGGACAGCGGGGCCGTGCCAGTCAGCTGTAACTCCGGGGGAAACATGACATTTGTTACATTTGACTTGCTTGGGTGCTTTGCTGTTTTAATGATAGCATTTGTTCTTAGTTAGTGTTGCACCCACGTTACATCTGGGCTTGATGAGTGGCCAGGCTGGCAGGTGGGGATATGTTCCTGTGCCTACTGGATTCTTGCACTGGACTGAAGGGAAAAGCCTGGTGGGATGGGTTATGAAAAGTGCAAATTGTAGTCTTGGATATGGGTTAATGGCAGAGTTGCAAACAACACAAAGGAGGGCAGAGCTTTTTTTCAGATAATTTCCAAATGTGAAGTTAGGATTAAGGCTGGGTAGTGTACTTACAAATTAAAAGATTTCCCCACCATATTATTCATATCTTGGTGTAGAAGTCAGATTTTAAAAACCCTCCAAAGATTAAAAATATTCTATATATATTTATATATTAAAATACATTTATATAAAAATGCAGAATGCAAATGGCATGATTATTAATTGGCATCAACTTTACTTAAGGCACATCCCCTCTTAGTGTGGTGTTCCCACACACTGACCCCATATCTCATAAACATGCTTCTGATGGTAAATCTGAGGAGAAATTGTAGTTCATCATAGGGGAAATCACTTTCTTTGGTTCTTAGTAACCCCTTCTTGGGAGGGCAAGAGAAATAGAGATACATGACTTGAAAGAATATTTCCTTTGCTCATCTTAGTTATTCTCACTTTCAATCTCCTCATTAGAGATCCATTCCTTTCCTGGTCAGAGAAGTTTTGCATCTGGAAATCTCCCAAGTACTTATTGTGCATGAGTTGACTTGAAGTTTAATATTCCTACACGTATAATTGGGTTTTGCTGGCCTTTGCCTGGTTGTAGAAGAGTGTGAAAGCACTGATGGATAATGTCACCTCCCCAGGGGCTTTTAGCACATCACACTTGTCCTCCAGTTCTTCTTAGTGACAATTCTAAGCTCTGTTGAAGTTCCACATTTCAGAGTTGCTTGTGGAAGCACAAGGACACTTGTATACATTTGAAGCATTCAGGCTACAAAGATGAGAGAAAGAAAATAACAAAAAAAGAAGAGCCAGAGTAAAATTACTTGGGGTCGTCTTTTAGGTAGTTTTACTGGTAATTGTTAATGACAGAAGTGCATGAGAAATTGTGTATATAATTTAGAAAAAACAAGATGTCACCAAGTATCAGTATCAAGTCAGGGCTGGGGTTACATACTAAGCTTGATTTTTTTTTTTGGAGCAGTGAAGATGTTTGAAAATGGGCAGTACATATCAGCTGCTCAAAGCCTGACTTTTTCAGGTGTGACATGCTGATATGGAGTCTTATTGTGGCCCTTTGCTGGCATCTCCTCCAAGCTCTTAATGCCTTCTCACCCAGTACCGTGGTCTCCATGGTTGGTGTCAGAAGGACACTGTTAATGCAAACCAGACAAACTCAAACCCATCCTTTGAAAGCAAAAGTTTTTCTCTTTAAAGACACTCCAGGGGTGGGGGAGAGAGGGAGGAGGGTACAACTCCTACCTGTCAGCGCTCATCTGCTTACAAACTGCTGAAAGCTTGAACTTGTGCATTCAAAAGCCCTAAAACATAAAAACGTCAGCTGAATTAATTAAATATTTGAGTACTGACAACTGTTGGAGTGTTTGAATTTTGGAGGCATGGATTAAAGGCACTGAGGGTCAGGAGAGAGAGTATCATATATCAAACTGCTCAATGAGAACACAGCTATACCACAGTGATTGTTGTCATCATCCTGAAAAAAAACCCAACCAAGTTCGCAGAGCTGTGCTTTCTGAGAGATGGCAGAACCCAAGAGAGGAAAATATTTGTGTTTCACAAGTGGTTTGCTGCACGATGTTGTGCTACTGTCATTCACAGGCATACCTGAACAGTAATAAAAGACAGAAAAGAAGCTTTTTTAACTGTAAAATGTAGTTAATTGTGGTTGCCTGTTTTCCAGGACTGAGTATGAGTGTTAGTAAGTGTTTGACATTTGGACTATGTTAAATCTTCCTATAGATGTAGAAATTCCTCTGTGAATGGAAAACAATGCATTCACTTAGCAGAATAGGCTTTGCTTAACTTACATTTTCCAATAAAGGTTTGTTACACCTTCAGAATTGTGGTTGTGTAGAACAAATTCATTTTGCTAACAGAAAACTAGCTATTGTCTTAATTTTTTGAACTTTGTTTTGTAATGGAAACAACCTGGTCTTTACTTTTAAAGTTTTGTATACAGGAAGAGGAGGCAATAGACTCAGATTCCAGAACGTTGCCTGAAGAGTTAAAAGTTCAAATGCATTTCTTCCAAATTATGCAGCTCAGAAACTCTTTACTGTTTGTTTCTGAACAGCTCAGTATCCACATTACACTAATGTGAGTTTGGGATAATCAATGCCAAATGACACCAGTTTAATGGAGCATTAAACAGATATCTTTAAGATACATCAGGCTGCAAGGGAGATGCTGAGATTGTTCTGCTTCCATTGCAGTCATAAATTGCCACACAAAAATTGCAGAAACTTTTGATTAACTAGCTTCTAACACAGCTCAGAAGCAGCATTAAAAAAGAGTAGATTTTCTATTTCATTGGGATTCTGACACCAGAGGCCTTTAATAATGACCAGATGTGAAATAGAAGAAATATTTGGGAGCAGTTAATGCCTAACCATAAAAGTGACCATGTGTAAATCACTGGAGAATGTGGTTTGAGCAAGGGCATTAGGTGTTTTCTTTTTTGTTTTCTTCTTTTCCCCAAGGCTGGCTGTGTGTATTCATATCTTGCCAGTACAAAATCAACCAGCAGAGAGGAATATTTTTGACCCAGCACTGCGTCCTGCTCAGGTGGACCTTTATTTGTAACTTTTCTAACGCTCAGATCTGTAGTTGTTTGAACAAAGTATGAAGATAAGGCCAGCAAAAAGCACTTTATTTGACAAAGAGCTGTGCTGCAAGGCCTTCCTGTACTGAGGCCATATTTATGGGCTCTGCTGCTTCTCCCATCCCCAGGTGAGCGTCCCTACCAGTGTCCCTACTGTGACAAAGCCTTCAGCAAGAACGACGGCCTGAAGATGCACATCCGCACCCACACAAGGGTAAGGCCCACACGAGGGCAAGTGCAGCTTGCTTTTTATGGTTCCTGGAGGGTTGTCTGTGAATCATGGCTGGTGAAAAGCAATTAATGGCTGTTTGTGTAGGGATTAGCCCATGCCAACCAAGATATTTTATACTTATCAAAATAAGAGGCAAAGACTCAAGTCATTAACTTATAAATTCTAATTATGACTCCCTTACTGACCTTCTGGTTTTCTCTGTGTTTGATTTCTTTCATGGTGAAATAATAGCAGTACTAACCTCTTCCTTTAAACTGTGGTTATTTATAGACATAAATTAATTTTGTTGACTGAGTAAACAGTCCTGTAAATGCTTCACTGTTATTGAAACTTCAGCATCCAGTGCTTTGATTCTTACTGTCTCTGTAAAATAGGACTAGAGGTCCTAGATACAGTTTTAGCTGGTTCACCCCAACCTATAGAAGTATTCAGTAGTTTGTGCAGTGCTTCCTGCTGGGTCATTGTTAGTTGTTTCTCCTTTTTTCCAGCTGTTAAATCACTTTAAGAAGTGCTATAAATTCTTTTCTGTTGCTGCTGTCCCCCGTTACTGTGTTTGCACCAGGAGAAGTTTCATGACCGTCTCAGTTCTACATGGCTGTGTGTGGGAGGAGTGGTAAACAAGCTCTGAAACAGTGCCAAATTTCATTTTTTCCTGATTTGTCACACAGTTTGAGTAAAAACAACAATCCCCCAAACCAAATGTGATATGTTGCCATATACTTGCCATGTCTCGATCATCTGGAGCTGAAAGACCACATTTCAGTTTTTCTATGTGTGTGTACGTGTGTGCTGAGCAGACTCCTGGTCATCTTCACAGTTTATGCTCTAGGATTAAAATATGCAGGCACAGCTTTGGTTTGAGGTTTGGATTCTTTGTGGTCATGCTGCTCCTGTTCCGAAACGTCACAGTGAGGATCATTCATTCGTTTATCCCCATGTAAATATTTTTGTACTTTGAGGTAACAAGAATCAATGTCAACAACATGAACATTACTAGTAATTTTTAAAATTGAAGCCTGTTGCTATAATCCTGCATGTTCCAACTTTCCCTCTTCTTCACACTACAACACCTTATTTAATATTTAGGTAGAGCTGGACAGATAAATCCAGAAGGCATTTTTGTATCAGCTGAGCCTACAATGTAGAAATAAACACAATCATAGCACTCTTCTCATAAATATCTTTAAAAGCATGTCTGGTCTTTTGGCCAGAAAAACTGAAGTAGCTTAAAAGTAATACTCTGACATTGAACAAGGAAAATGTCGTTGTAGAGATTAAATCTAGATGTGTTTTACCAGTGGGATTAAATGCCAAACCTGATGGTGTGGATCAGGGAAGGCTGCTGGAAAAATCATTGTAGAAAGTTGATTAAGGTCTGGCAGCTGCTAAACTGAGCACAACCTGGGTGGCCACAGGTGTCAGCTCCAACTCTGGAGTCAACAGAGAAGGAAAGCCAAAACCCCACTGAGCATGGAAGGGGAGGAAACACCAACCCCTAATATTAAAATGTCACCTGAGTGCTGATTTGTTTCTATGAAAGTAGATGTGTTTGGTTTATGGTTTGATGGTTTGGGTTTTTTTTTTTTCCTTAAGGAGAAATATAACAGCCTAGGAAAAGGTAAATGAGGAACTCATTGAAGTTGTTGGTGAAATGAATTTACAGACCATAGCAGCTTGGAGGAAGCACATGCAGACTCCAGCCTTCCCAGGGCAGTGCAGTCCAGCTCCTTCCAAAGGCTTTAGTCAGTGCCTGACATCACATTACAGAGCTTGAGCTTAAACATGTGCAGAAATTACCGAATGTGGCTGCAGTAGAATTGCTGATGTCTGGAAATGTGGTCATTGATAAGTGCCCAGGGTTATTGTCACGTCAGGTTGGTGTTTTAGTTACTTCTGGAAGTGGTGGGTTCGTTACAGTTGGTTTCAGTGATGGAAAACAGCAAGAGTGGAAGCAACCTGCAAATGGCTTTTCATCACTTGATTTGCATATTCCATATTTCCACCTAACATATATGTAACTTTTATGGCTTGTTTAAAAATCTGACTTTGGTGGGTGGAAGGCTGCCTGTAATGCTCAAATTGCACATTTTTGAGGTAATTTGAAAACTACAGACATTTCAGTATATTTGTAGGTGACTTTCTTTTTTTCATGCATAAGTGTCTACTATTTTAAAACACATAATTAAGTTTTTTAAAAGCACCTAATGTTCAGAGATTATACTGCAAGGCATCAAAAATTAAGTGATAAGCATATTTTTGTAACTCTGCAACTAACTTTACTTGATGCTTGGCCAGTGTATATATTTACATATGCACATACATGTGTACATACATATATAGGGAACTTAACAGTGCTCCCTCTTTTCTTCTTTAACCCAGAAGAACATTAAAATAATACTAAATACAAAATAATACCAGAACAATATTGACAATCGTGACATAATTTCACTTGTTCTGTGTTTCCCAGGAAATATTTGGGCTTAAAGTTTGCAAAAGGGTCATGTGTTCCAGAAGCAGCATACAATGCTATTGTCAAAAAAAAAAAAAAAAAGCCTTTGGGTACTAAATACAGTCTTCTGTGCACATGACAGTGTGTAATGAAATAATATGAAGCGTTGATTGAATTTTGAATTTTTTTTCCATATTGGATTTTATCTGTATTTCCCCATTGGTGAGATATGAGTGAGTTCCCAAACATCTGTCTGAGGATGATGACTTTGCCAGGGCTGTGGTTTCCTTGCCTGTGGAATCTGTGTCTGTACACATAGTGTAGAAGGTTCAAATCCCACTGCACCTATATTTTCACACTTTTTTATGGAATGGTGACTGATGATCATCCCTTCCTCGTAGAGTGAAAATGTACTTTTTCTATATTGATACTGTTCTTTTTCCAGGAGCAAACGAACATGTATTGAATTTTCATCGGGGCTGATTAATAAACCCTCCTTCACTACATCTTTAGAAGCAGAAATGACCTTGGAAGTTTAAAAAACCCCAAAGAAACAAAAACTTTTCAGCTTATAGGTAGCAAGTAGGCAGAACTACTATGGAAAATGGGAAGTTAAGGATTTGGTAAAGTCCAACTAATTGCATATACTGGAGCTTTTTAAGAAACATACTTTTTTTTTCTGTCAGGAATTTCAGTGAAGATGCAAGTTTTTGTTTTCATAATAAATTTTATTGCAAAAAAGGGTATTTTTATCAATAACCCTAATACTGAATTAATTGAGACCTGTTCTAACAAAAACATTAGTCGCTTCTAATAAAAGTCACTTTTTTATTTAAATCTGCCAAAATTCTTTCACAGTTGTTTCAACAGGGAAGTTGAAACTGGAATTGGATTTATTGGAAATGTTTTTTTAAAAGGATTTTACTTCTCAACTGAGGAAATGTGTAGTTGTAATGGGATTTGTTTTTTTTAATTGAGTTCTAATCATTATAAGATTGAAATCCCTACCATTTCTGTAGAGTTGTAAATTCTCATCAACCTTTGTCTTCCTGTGCTAGTGTTACTTTAGGAATTCAGTGCAAGTCTGATGGTTTAAGAAGGTCTCTGTCTCTGCTGTAACTCCTCAAACCTTCCAATTACTGAGAGAACCTCTTGTTCTTTCTTGCACATTTTTCACACCCAGATACAAAACTGGCCTCCATTAACTTGCACCATCTGTGATCTTAAGTGACTTTTCCTCTTGTCTCACCAGGGAACGTGTTGCTAGTGGTGATGACCTCACAGAAAGCACCAGTGGTGGCTTTTTCCTGATGTTAATCACCTCAGGTCTGGGGTTTTTTTAGGGCTGAAACGTAACTAAACATCAGCTCTGTAAACCATCCGTGTTTCTGTGGCACTTTCCCGTCTTGCTGCATTATACCTCCATTCCCAGCCCTTCAGCTGAGATGGGAGCTGCTACTTTATGCATCATCAGCCCCATGTTAGGCTGCCTTGTGTTTCCAAACCCCTTAGACGTTGCTTTTCAGGCTGGTGTAGCCCTTAAATCGTTCCTTCAGTTTGCCTTCAGGTGGTTTTTTTGGCAGGATGGAACCTGCTCTGGCCACCCTCTTTTGATACATTTCGTGTACCAGTGGCCAAAGGGGTCCTGAGGGACACATCGACATTAATAATTAGCAATAATTAAAGCAAAGTGTTACTGGGATTAGGAGAAATTTTAAAACACACAAAGCAAAGGGTTTATGTGAAATAAACAGCTGACTTAAACTTAGCATTGCTCCCTGATGGCAGTGTCCTGTGTTCTCAGTGCCTGAGGCACCCTTTAGGGAACGCTTTTGGAAGGAGTTTGTCACTGTCCTCCCCATTTGTAAAGCAGATTTCCTGCATTTTCAGATTGGCAAAGCTGTAGGAATTCCAGGTTTCTACTAGAGAAATTAGCTTTTTTGTTCATTCAAGGCCACATTTTTCCATTTTTGCTGATTTTTTTTTTTTTTTGGAACAATTTTATTAACCCTCTGTTCAAGTCATAATGCAAGTACATGTAGCAGCAAATGATGTTCATTAAGAGTAATACAGATATTTTCAAAGTCCACATAAAAAGCAGTTTGAAAGCAGGACAGTATTACTGTATCTACATCTCATGAGCAGGCATTAGAAGGCTTTCTGGGAGCAAAGGAAAGCTTTGTTTTAGAATAATGAGAAGAAAATATTATTTTAATTTTTTTGTGTGTGTGTGTCCTGTAACGTCATCATTATTCATGTCTGGCAATGTGTTCTCACATTCATGTCACAACTGTAAATGTTTACAAATAATATAAGATCTGATAGGCTTTTCCTTTTTTTCTGCTGAATTCAGTAGAATATAAAAATACTAGCTTGAGAGAAATTAGATCCAAGATAGCTCTGGGATTTTCAGTGTACTTTGCATGTCAGTTAAAAGGGATTATTGAGTAACATTTTGGTAGTCAAGTTCACTTTCTGAGTGGTATAAATCTGAAATCACTGTAATAAATTAGCTTAACCAAAAAGTGAAGAATAAGGTTTCTTGAGCGTGACTTCAGCTCGGTTTTAAATTGCTCTTTGAAAGAGTTGCTAGAACTGTTTTTAACTCTCATTTATTTGAAACTTGAGCCAAGATTTATTTGGATATAATAGTGTTCAGATCATATATGTCTCACCGCTGCTGTTGAGCTCATGTAACAGTTCTAAATTCAGATTGGAAAAGTAAGTTGGAGACACTCCTCCCAAAGTCATTAATGTTTTACCTGCCTGAGGCATTTTACCAGGTTTCCAGGAACAACCACATGCACTAGTGCTAGGCTGATATACATAATGTACTTACATTTCTTAAGGGAGATACAGTCAACTACAGAGCAGTTCAGATATTCTGCATTTAAATGTTTCCGTGTGCTGTGGTTGCAGGATGCTCTGGACACGTGCTTTGTGGAGCCATTGAGGGTGGTGCAAGTGGCAAATCAAGGTGTGGTTTGTGATGCAGCCACACACAGACAGATGAGTTTGTATTGCAGGCACCGTTTGATTTGTCAGAGCTGTTAAAATGTTGATTTCCTCTCAGTTTTAACATAGTGAAGTGAAAATCATCAGAGATGGGAGCTTTTAAGGTACATACCAGTCTTACTGCAAAGCACCTTCCAGAATACCATTTGGGCTCTGCTTGGCCTTTCCTCGTTTAGAGGCAGGAAGGTTGTAAATCCTGACTTACCTACTTCTATTTATACCTGGCATGCTTAAAACTGTGATATTAAATCACTGCAGTATCAGCTCCATCCTGCCTCTCGCTCTCCCCGCTCCCTTCCTCGTTTGTATCATCAATAAAAGAAAACACATGTAATCCTTTGGCTTTGCTGCCACCACAGTCATGGCCTGGCAGATGCTTTTTCAGCAGAGGGCAGATTTATAGTTCTAGCAGTTGCTGACTCCTCTGAAGTCAGACTTGGATGATCTTTGCAATGAGCTCCTGTTTTGTTGACAGTTAGCAGGTTTTTCCCTTTGCTTCGTGTTTTAAATGTGTCCAGCTTCCTTCTAATCTCATCTCTGGTCCCTGCTGTCCTTCTGAGGTGGCATTAACTTTTTCAGACCTGTTGGTGTGGTTTTTGTCTCTTTTGTGTTTTCTGTTCACGTTTAGAGCAGTGGTGGTTATGCCAAGCAAACATCATCTTTTCCATGTTACACATGTTGCTTTCTCCAAGTATTGTGCAATGGGAATTTGATACCAAGGGGGGAGAAGGAGGAGAGAGAAAAGGAAAAGGCACAGAATGTTTTGGTTTTAGTCTGTGACAGTGATGTCTTCTTTGAAACCAATAACAAAAAAAGACTTTTTCTCTGGAGATACACACAGGGCCAAGTTTTGCTCTGGGCAGCACTGCTGATATTACTGAGACAGGCACAGATGTGAGTGGAGGGCAGCTTTGCTTTGGGGAGAGGAGGCTGCTGGGAATCGCAGTCATGTCTGCTGAACTCACTGGAATATACAGATGTAAGGGATCTAAAATTAGATCAAAGCTCTGGATGTGCTTCGTGCACTACATATGGGAGTTGGAATACGAATGCCAAGGGGATGGTTGGATACACCCTTTTTTGCCACAGAGCATAATACAAATACCCAAACGTGGGGGAATTTAGCCAGCCCAGGTTTGTGGCTTCAGCTTCCCAGAGTGTATAATGGCTCCTTCTCCAGAATGGAATCCTGCAGTCCCTTTCCCTCTGGCATGGACGAGCCACTCCTAATCCAGTCAACTCCTGAGGCACCTGAAGAAGCAGGTGATAGAAGGGAGCGAGTCCACCCGCTGCAGTTTGCAGGAGTCAGTGTTTCCAGAGGTGTTTAAGATGTACATGTTGTATACTCTGCTTTGCACTTTCTGTGCAACAACCTACCCAGAGAAAGGCTGGTTTTGGAGAACTCACAGAAATGTGGTTCGTGTTAACCACAATGCAGAACCAATTAAGGGGTTGTTGCACAAACCTGCTTTTCATATGACTTACTCATACAATTCCTTTGGAAATGCAGTCCTGCTCCATGAAACCTTCAGTCAGTCTATCAAAGGTCCCTGTGACATGAAGTTTTCGGTCTAGATGATGGGGTTTTTTTCAAGGAATTTGTTATGTTTTCCTTTATACTGAGGAATCATGGAAATGACGCTGCCTCTTCTAGGAGAGCTCATGGGAGGGGACTCCAAAATGAAGAACCCCGTGTTCACCCCTGCTGGGGTCTCTGAACCTGCAAAGAGTGGCCCTAAAGAGAGACTGGGATATCCCCAGAACAGCCCTAATTTACAGTCCACTGTGTTGGGTGTGTGGCTCGTGCTGGTGAATCCTGGCAGGATTCAGCAATATACCGAGACCTGGTTGTTCCCAACATTCTGAGAATAGGGATTCAATAACCAGAGAACTTTTTCTCTTTGTTGCTTTAACACCTGGGCTGAGTTGTTCTGTCTCACTTAATCCTTGAGTCCCACATTATCTCCCGAAAGGACTTTGACTTCACCACCTGTTATTTCTTAATTCATAGATTTAACATTTTCATTGCCTACTGATTTTTTCAGTCATTGCTTTCAATTTAATGCAGTAAAAACTGTTTACTTTGCCTAAAATACCCTTCTTCAGAACTTCAGCAATACAGAATTAGAGTCCACAGGAAAAAGTAGGATGAAAGAAGTATAGTTGATTTAAAACTAAAGGTGCCTCTAGAGCATTAAAATTGTAATGAGACCATGTGCAGGGCCATAATGATAACTTTTATGTTTGATTTATTTTGGTGTTGGTTTCCATACGGTTCTTTGGTAACTTTTGTGGAATCAAGGTGGAATTACACCTTATGTAAATTTCTATATTCAGGAAGAACTTTAAAGAAAAAAATCTTTACCTAAGTGGTTTTCCTTACATATTTCTGATTCTTTGAGGTCAGTGAGACTGCAACTTTTATAACATCATGTGCTACAGTAGCTGCTAACCAATAGTTCTAATAAAAATACAGATGGCTTGGTTGCTATCTGCACTTCTTTTGAGATTCTGCAATGAATATGTGATTAACCTTCTGTCACCACTTCTCAAAAGAAGTTTTTACTCTGCCACAAGCTTTCCTTGTACCTTCTCTTCCTCTCTTCACCTCTTTCTCTGCTTGGAAACCTGCTAACAAACCTGAAGTTTCATGGATAATTTTAAGCATTTGTGGAGGATAAAGGAAAGTAGACTGGAATTTTACGTTTCTGTACCTTTCAGGTGACAAAAAGCAGACTCCCAAAATGGCTGCGTTTGAAGGACTGGAACAGATAATTAATTCCTAAGTGGGTGTTGAAGTGGAAACTGTCAGGCCCCAGCTTTCCCAGCTTTCACTTCATCATTTGAAAGTCGTTTTCTGTTGTTTTCACTGACTGTAATCCCTTAGAGAGAATATAAAACTTGCACCATCCAGCATGGAATTCCACCCCTTTAATGACTCGGGCTCTGTGTTGACTCACTTTCACTCCCTGTTGTCATTCCATGCAGGAAAAGCCGTACCAGTGCTCGGAGTGTAACAAGGCTTTCAGTCAGAAGCGGGGCCTGGACGAGCACATGAGGACCCACACCGGGGAGAAGCCGTTCCAGTGTGATGTGAGTCCAGCTGTCCCTTTGTGTCTGCCTGCCTCCAGTGCAGCAGAGGGACCTAATTCCGGGGAGACCACGGCCTTGCACCTCTTGGCTGTGGCATAAAGTTACACTTCATCTGGCCTTTGTTTAGCCAGACATTGAAAGGCCATTCAGGGAATTTTATGTACCCTCTCCGGTTGCCAAGAGCATTGCACACCCTCTTATTTTATGGGTTTGGATCCCACAAGAGTTATTTTCACCATTATTAATGCAATTTGGATGTTACAAGTTACAAATTCACACTGGTTGGGTTCCCATATAAATTTGTACAACAGGTTAATAGTTGGAGATTAGCTTATGTAGGAAAAGGGATCTAATTTATTACATGGAGTCTGAATGATTCTGATGGTGAATGACACAAATATTTCCAGTTTCTACTGAAACCTGGTCTGATATTTTCAACATCTGCTCATTTTTCTGTCATTCAGTGGAACAATCTGGGGTGCTGTGCACACTTGCAGTGCTGAAATGGAGCCTATCATGTTACAGTCCATAGATCACTGTCAGGTACCTTTCCTTCACACACCCCATTTGTACACGACATCTCAGCTTTTGGGAGGTAGTGGGGAGGCTGAATGTGCAGAAAATGGTGGGAAATTATGTCTTGCAGAACTATTAAATGCCAAAATGTAAGCTGTTGCTCAAGGATTTAGGGGAAGGCATCAGAACAGGGTATAGAATTAGTATAGGAACTTTGTGTTGTGATACTGGCTCTTAATGAATCTGTCACAGGGCTGCCAGGTTTCAGTTATGTCCTAGATGGCTCAACCTGAGCAGCTGTAAATTTGCTCAGAAACTTCTGAAATTAGATGCAAAATTAGAATAACAGCTTGGCAGGAAGAGTTGCAAGGGTCTGTTAACTGTTCTGGTTTTTAGTGAATAATCTGATGTCATTTCGTTGAGAATAAAATATATTAATTTCATGGAAAAGTTCAGCTAAAATATTTTGCTGATGTCTACAAGTGAGGAGATTTGCTGTATTCTTTTGGGATAATCTCAGTCTGGCTCTAGATAGTACCTGGAGGATTTCTCTAACTCCACATCATTGTCAATAACTTCTTCAGATTGCTGTACTGTTTATCAGCTGCTGGCCAGCTTGCAGTGTAAATGCAGTTTTTCCCACACTGTGGATCCAAGATTCACTGATCTTGGATTCAGTGTGGTTTTTTCAGACTGACTTGATACGGTGGTTCTATATTATTCCTTTTTCCTTTCTTTAATTTAAAGTAGGAGTTGCATGAAAACATACTTTCCTGCTTCAACTTTTCCTTCCGTTTTCCTCGTTAATCAAATAGAATTTAACTTCTCAGATCACAGTATTTCTAGAAACAGCTGGAATCTGTGTCTAGTCCTAGTCCTTCTCTTACACAGTGCATGTTACCAGATGTTTCAGTAGAAGTTACAGGAAAACCAGTAGTGGACAATTACAGAAAAATGTACCTATGGGAGGCATTTATTGTGGGCTACCTGATACTGAATTTTCTTTTTACACTCAGCTATTCTCACCTACAATTTTTTTATCCTGCTCAAGAAAACTGTAGATGTTATTTTTCTTATAATGACTTGAGTGGTAATTTATGGCAACAGCCTCCCCAGACTCTTGACTGTGGAATACCACATCCCAATTTTTTTTAGGCTGTGTTTTTGCTTTAAAAAATTTGTTTCTAGAATCAGAAATAAAACCAGTGTTTTCCTGTCTCACTCTCTCAGGCACATGGAACAGGTATTACCATCCAGGACTGAGTTACATGTGAGACTAATCCTTGTACCCTGTTTGATGAAGGTGCTACAGTGTATTTATGTACCTATTGCTGTGTCCTACCAGTCAAGAGAATTCGGTGTGCCAAAGCTCTTGCACCCCACAGATAACAGTGGGAATTGAATATTCTCATTTTAAAATGAAAGTTCTGATACACGTCACGTAGGAAAGTGAGAATAACTGAAATATGAAGGTACAAAATGCAGTTTTTCCTGATGTATTACATTTCTGTCCTCTCAGGACCAGTCTGTTTTTTTACTGGAAGGCCAATTGAGCTTCAGTTGCCTCAGAGACAACAGATGATTTTCTGGGGGCAGCAAGGTCAAGTGCTGCCTGTCCTGGTTTCTGTCCAGTACAGTATTTCCCTGCACTCTGCCTCCAGCTGACCCTGCACTTACTTTCAAATGTCAGTCTTTTCCATCCTCCCTACTGGACCAAAACTTTGATCGTTTTGAAGAGACTGATTGGAGTTCGAGTGCACATTAGCAAGAGTGGTTGTAAATCTACAAAATACCAGTCTTGCTTAAAAAATTAATATATGGAGCAAACTCTTAAAAAAATCCCCAAAACTTTTATGCATAAGCACAGCACAGGATGTGCCATGTCTTTAATAATCCTGTGCATTCCATGCTCTCTTCGAAGAAGGAAGGTAGCACAACATGCCAGAGCCTTGAAGGGACAGAAGGACACATAACAAAAGGGTGGCTGTTGCTTGGGTCTGAAAGAGGTGATTATACAGTGGGGGGAAAAAGTTGGACAGTTAAAGTTGCTGTGTAAAAGTCCTCGTTATTATGTCATGTCATAAAGCCAAAAATGTTCCATTGCAACAGCACATACAGTGCCCTTGTCTGGGGAAACATTCTGGGGACAAAAACTTGCCTCTGGCAATTGCCCTTTTTATGGTCATTGTATGATTTTGCCTTAATTGGCATAAAATACATGTACTGGAGGTCAAAATTATCCACTCAGCTCTAGTGGTCTGTCTCGGTTTCCGAAGGAATCAGGAATCACTCAGCATTTTCATTAGTTTGACACCAATATGAATTTAAAGCTTTGTTTTTCTGAAGAGGGATTGTCCTGGGTTCTGAGAGGTTGTTTTTTTTTTTTTTCTGCATGAAAGAGATTTCTGTCTGGAATTAACCTGGAGTTTTAAGTTTGCAAGCCTATGAGTGTTCATTCTTGTTTAATTATATGAGTCTTGCCTGTTCCATTTGTCAAATCAGCAGCATACTTCCTTGTTTTTTTTTCCTTTTCCTCAGAAATTCATGCATGCAAATATATCCTTGCATGAAAGGTAAATATGACAATAACAGCATGGTTTTAGTTGAATTGATGCCTTAACTTTTAATGCTAACTTTTCTTGGCTGAGCTTCTTCTTAACCTTTCATGTTTTTTATTTTAACTTCAGCACTGGGATTTTTATAAGAAGTGATGGCTTTAGCATGGCAGAGTCCTTCTTCCCTCTATCCATTTATTCAAATGGAGAATGAACTGGACAGCTTGGAGTACAGTGGAGGAAGGGAAGCAGCACACCAGACAACAAACAAAAGAGATTCACCTTCATTTGCTAGATGTCTTCCATTTTCTTGGCCAGGCAGAGAGACACTGGAACAGTGATGTTTCCTTCATAATAATTATTAACCTTTTTTGCAGTCTTCAGAGCCTCTTTATTCTCACTCCTCACTCCTTGTAACTGAGCGAGCTCAAAAGTCCTTCTGGAGGTCAGGAAGGAAATATTTCATTTAAGTCCAACTAGCAGAGGCCTGTGATGTTTTGTCATAATTTTTCTCCATCCCAGATAGAAAAATAGGTTTAAAAAAAAAAACAACCCAGCAAACAAGAATAATGATCTTTAAGGTGCTCTCTGAAGGAGTTGTCCTTCCAAAGACCAGCTCATTTACTAAGCACTGCAGGTATGTGTGGCTGTGCCTTCAGTGATGTCACGTGAGGTGCATTTTCTGTGCTCCAAGTTGTAACGCTTCGTTTGGCTTTGCCTTGCCTTCCCTGCCCCAGGTCTGTGACCTGTCCTTCAGCCTGAAGAAGATGCTGATCCGCCACAAGCTGACCCACAACCCCAACCGGCCCATGGCAGAGTGCCAGCTGTGCCACAAGAAGTTCACAAGGAACGACTACCTCAAAGTGCACATGGAAAACGTCCATGGGGAGACCGACAGCTGATTGACCGGCCTCGGGGAGAGGAATGGATCCAGAGCGCTGCATTTGGACACGTGCAGACTCCAGGCTTTTCACCTGACTTGGAGGAACAGTCAGGAGAAACAACTGGAATGTGATTTCCCTCCCCCCCCACTTTTTAAAAAATATGCTAGTAGAAAAAAAAAAAAACCAAAGAAAGGCGTTCACCTGATTTATAACATAACTTGAAAAGAAAAAGTTGAAGATAAAAGAACTCGGGGAAAATTTTTTATCTTCATTTGAAAAAAGAAAAAAGGCAAAAAAAAAGCTTTAAGCAAACTTGTCTTTGTTAATTACATCCCTAGAAATGTAGATATTAATAGCATTACCTGGAAATCCTGGACACTTGCAACTGAACCCTTGGCTGTCTGCAATTGTATTTCTGTATCTAAGCTACAAGGCTCCATTAAAATTATTTAATGTGAAACCACACAGAATGTGTCATTCCAATTGATTGCTGATTACATCCAGACTCGTTTTATCCATGTCATAATTCTGCACTTTGTTGTAACGTGATTTTGTCTCATTTTATTTACAGCTTTCTCATTGCTATATGAAAGTCATTAACTTGAATTGACTCTCAAGGTGCCAAAATGTATGAGTACAGAAGCTGTGGAATTCTGTCAACATAAAGTGTGAGATAGAGGAGGATTTATTTCTTCTGGTTACATGAAACAGGAACTAAAGTGAAAGCTTTGAGCAATTCAGTTTGAGTGCTGTATTCATACTCCTCATTGTGGCTGGCAAGGCAAGTGGAAAGACATCTTACCAGAGTGGCTTAAGCTGCTACAGTTGCTGAGTTAACATGTGCTTGATTTCCTGGTGAACAGCTGGTTCTTCCTGCTCAATCAGATGCCCTGGATTTCTTCATCCCACATAGCCACCTTTTTCTTGCCCCCTTATTTATCTTCATGAGCGCTGGGAAAAATACTGCTTTACTACTAAGTAAAAATCAAATTCTTGTTATCAGTGAGTTGTTTACTGCAGAAAACTCTTCAGAAGAGTTCCCACAGGCCTTCTCATACCAGCCTGATAACCAAGAAATCTTTATCTACAAGGACAGTAAAACTGTAACTTCAGAGGGTTCCAGTGAAATTCCTGAGTTATCAGCAGTTAATATTAAGGCTCTGGCATTAGCAAACTGTTCGTGCTCATTTTGGACCTGTCAGTGTTTTGTAAAATGTACTTGCAGTGGGACATTTTGCTTCTAGATTTCGTGGGAAAAGAATTCAGCTTCTTTCTGAACTGCAGCAGGGGCGTTTATGTGAAATGAACAGCACAGTTCTTTATCTCAGGGTAGATTCTACTCAAATCTTTTTATCACATGGGACATTTGTTACTCAGAAGAGCAAAAAAAGTGTTATACAGTAACAGTTGAATATTTTATTGCATTTAATTTGCCTGTTGAAATGCATATGCTTAATTGTTTTAAAATTGTATAGGATTACTGCAGATTTTGGGGGGAAAGTGGGATTGTAAGTAATTCTCTTGTTTTGAGAGCCACCTATGTGTAGAAGCATGCTAAGTCTTCATGGGACTTTTTGCTTCCTGAGAGGTACATGAAACCTGGAGACTTTGCCAGTTCCATACAAATAATTTGTTCCTATAAATCCAGTGTATTGTATGTGTGAAAGACAAATATAAGCATTATGAAGTGGAGTAGTGAATACTTCCTCTCCTTGTTTGTGGAGATTTTGTTAGAAATACACTGTTCTGATAAATTCTAAGTCCAGAAGACTTTAATTTATTGCTACAGTTATTATAAAAGTTAATTTAAGTGTTGAGGTAGCAAAAGCAACCAGTACCAGATATTGAGATGTGAGGTGGTGTTTTAGCTTTATTTTTGTAATTATCTACCAGGAGAATTAGGTTGGTGACTTTTTTGACACATCCGGGTGACTTTTTTTTTGTTGTTGTTTGTCTTTTTGACATCAATGAAATCAAGATTTCAGTCCTGGAAAAACCAAGATTACAGTTCTTTATATTTTTCTGTCTGTGTATTTTTACTTCTTCCATTTGATTGATACAAACTAAGGCATGGAGGACAGCAGAAGGGAAAAAACCACTAAAAAAAGAAAAGAATTCATAAGGGAAGGTTTCCTAAGCAGTTTTTGAAGGACAATGCTGTTAAAAAACAAAGAAGACTTTTTTTTTTCTGGAAAGAAAAAGGATCATGTAATATATTTAAATATTTTGCCAGAGATTTTTGCTTCAAAGTTATTACATGTTTAGGGTTAATAACTGCTTTTGAGAAAAATAACTAATTGCTGAAAGTCAACAACTAAAGAGGAGAATGTACCTTTGTTTTAATTATTTCTGGATAAGTGACTGTATATATATATTAAGATTAATCATGCTGTGTGTAATCAACAGCAGCAGTGAAATAATTGAAGCTTTGATCTTGTTAATGGCTTCAGTGGAAGAAAGGACAGACAGGATCCGTGTGGGAGTGCCAGAGCTCCGTGGGACACCAGGAGGAGGTGCAGGAGGCTGCAGCCCCGCTCCAGGTGAGTGTCTTCCATCGTGTCCTCCAGGAACTTTCCCTTTGGGCTAAAGCAGCTCCTGCAGAGCCAGCCCCTGGCTCAGCACCTGCAGGTGTTGCCATGGCAAGAACTACCCTGTTCTTTCCACGAGGGCCTGGAGTGTCTTGCAGTCAGAGGTAATATGTTTCAGATTACTGAATTCATGGGCTGTGTAATTGATTTTACATGCAATGTAGACTTCCCATTAGGCAATATATTTCTATTTGATCATAGCCTTCTTTAAAAAAAAAAGGCACAAACCAAAGAAACAAAGAAAAAATACAAACCCTCAAACCCTTCTTCTTTGAGTGAAAATTTCCACTGGCAGCCTCCCACTTGGTATTGCTTTTGGGAAAAATAGAGGATGTTCCCTTCACCTGATTTTGAGAAATGATAAACTGAAACCTGTTGGTTTAAAGGTAATTGTTAATTTTTTTAGTGTTGTAGGTTGGATTGTTAATCATCACTTATTAAAATACTGACTTTTCCATAGTAAGTTGTACCTTACTTAATAACATGAAAAACCAGAGAGAGAGGTGTTCCTGAGGTAAAGTGTAGTCACTGCCATTTTAGAAGGCTGTGATTCTTTTCCATACTTAGTATAATTTTCTGCAGCTCATAACATTCCTATTGTTCTCTTTATTTTTCCATTACAGTTGGCCCCTCTTGGAGAGAACTCGATCTCTGGTGTTGGGAACAGCGGCAGTCTCACTAGTTCCTTTTGCTTTTCATTCTGATCAGATGTATGCCAAAAGGTGATACAATTTATTAATGTGATAAATATCCTTTCATTTGCTAACATCATTCTGATTTGTCTGTATGACTCTGAAGGACTTGATGCATCCTTTATTTTAAACTATCAAGTCCTAATTAGAAATCAGATAAAGGAGGAAATGGCGTAAGTTAACGTGTGCCAGGCATTTTATGTTGTTTTAAACTGCACCCTTTATTGCTCTGCTTATGTGTAAGTACCAGTGCTGTTATTCTTCAAAGATCTCTGATTATATTTTAATATTTTAGTTTAAAAGATAGAGCATAACAGTACCTCCAAAGTATCACTTTGAGTGGAGGAGCTCAGTGTGCTGCTGTCAGTGTGTGAACAGGGAACAGGAAAATGTTTTCAGTTCAATCACATGCTCATGGCACTGAAGTGTTGGGGTTCTCTTCCCAGTAAGAGTTGAAATGTGCTTATTTAGTTTTTTAGGCAAGTGTGAGCTCAGAATATAGCAGCACTTACAGCTGTAAAGCTGTGTTCTTGAACACACTTGAATTCTGACAGCTGACTTTTGTCTCTTGTACGATCTGTGGCACATCAAGAAGATGGAGTAATTGAAGGATGTGCAGCAACAGCTGAAAAGTTCTCACTGATAAACAGTTTCCTTGACCTGGGAAATTATTCATTGAATGTTTCAATCTGAGACTGCCAGTCTTAATTTTATTTAATTTAGTTATTGTCTATTTTATGAGTCTCTTTTATCCCCTGTCCCCTTTCCTTTGTAATCTGTTGCTGAACCTGTAGTACGCTGTGAGCAAAGGCAGAGTGAACTGGCAAGCTCAGTGTTTGCAAAGTGTTTGCTGCTCCCTGACCCCAGCCCTCTTTGTTGTGCTCAGGTCCATGCCTGTGGCTTTGCTGACATCAGCTCCCTCTCATGTTACACCAGGAGTGGCATCAGAGGCTGTGCGTGGTACACGAGCTGTCACCACCCTCCAGTGACAAGGAAGCGAGGGGGAAACACCCATCCATGTCACTTGATGGTCCAGTTGTCTCCATGGGCTCCAGCTGAGGTAGGCAAGACAATATCCATGGATCTCCATCACTGCACGTGTCCTGGGCCTGAGCACCTCAGAACAAGCTAGATAGTGAGGTGGAGAAACGACAACAAAGCCACTTAGTGTCTGCCTTGGGGGTAGAAATATATGCAGGAATGTTTTCATACCCTCCTTGAAATTGGAATTATTATTCAATTTAGGAAAGAGAAAAGTGGTAAGAGTTGCCCCCTAGGTTTTTGAAAGGGTGTGGTCTCACAAGCCTTTCACCAACAGGACCATGTGCACATGCATCAACTGTTATATAGGTCAGATATATAAAAGGCAGTCTAGAATGGAAAGGTGACACCACACTTCTGTAGAGCTCTGAAGCCCAATTCTGTACCTGGTCCTGGAAATTAGCAGAGTTTAACTAAAGACTGGAATTTAATTCCATTATTTAGGTTTTCCTACCAGGATGTCTTGGTAAGCAGGGACTCCCTTCTGTACAAATACAACCAGAAAATGTTCCAGTTTTAATTTGGTATTTCTTTTGTTAAAAACAAACTTAAGAACAACAGTGAGACAAAACCATGACCTTTTATTAATAAGTTACGTTGGTTCTATGTAAGATAAATTTCCCATAAGCACCTTGATCTCAAACAAACACATGATCAACTGTGGAGTTTCAGCTGTTGAGCAATGCAGTTAAACGGCTGTACTTCAAATATCATTGATCATGTGTTCATAACCTTCAGCTCTAAAATCCCTGAAGTAAAGGAAG